CACAGAGAGAAGAATGTCATCCCGACAACAAAATGCTAACCTACCCTTGTCTTGTCTAGAATCCAAGAAGCTCTCCTCCACGCCCTCAATTCAAACTCCTCCAACTGGCCCACCACCATCCAGAACCACGCCCTAGCCCTCCTCCGCTCCGGCGAAATCACCACATACCCAGCCCTCCTCCGCCGCGTCCTCGAAGACGTCCGCGAAGGCCAGCCCTCGTCAACATCCAGCGCAAACGGCAAGCCATCGTCATCATCCGCCGCAACAACAAACGGCAACGGCGACACCAAGAAAGCCAACGGCACACCAGCCTCCGACAAATCCCCCCTCGCCATCCCCACATCCGTAATAGAAGAGGCCCTGAGAATCACAAGAGAATGCCTCGACTCCGTGTGCGAAATCGAGGAAAAGGGCAGTGGCTAGAAATCTCCTCCCTCTCCTCCCTCTCCTCCTCTTCCCCCTTCTCCTTCTCCTCTCCCCCTTCCTCCACCTCTACCTCGTCATCCTTCTCCGCCAACAACGCTTGGCTCACCTCCAACTACTGCTACAACTGCGAAGAAACCGCGCCTGGGGCTTTTCAGGACATGTCGCACACGGTCGAAATAAAATCTAATCGCTTCTCTTCCACTTCGTTTTCTTTTGATTCTTCCTCTTCTCTTTACTGTTCTGTTCTGGTCGATTCTTTTTTGTGGTATAGATAAGGGGACGCGAGATGGATTCTTGGGGATATAGCTTCTTTTCCTTTTCCTTCTCCTTCTGCTCCCCATTTTTAGGACGAGCGGCAAGGATATTGTATGTGGCTTTTTGGGAGCGTATGGTGCATTATATGAATTTGAGCTACTAGGGCGTATTTGTAGTGTCTCAAGACGACGCCTACCAGGTGGGAATACCATACAGACCACCGAGCTTTATATAAATTTTACATCAGTCGTATTAGCATCACAAAAACAATTGCCTTCTTAAGTCAGTAGCAGACTGGAGAGTTCATCTCGACCGATTTTCTCTACCTCTGCCAGGTTATCATGAATTATAAGTAGTCACAGGTTACTAGTGAGTGTACTGCGTTATGTTGTTCACTTCACAGCTAGCAGCAATTTGGTTTAAGTGGAATCAATTGCACTCTTCTATCAAGCTAACGTATCTTATTCTGGTGTTTTCAGATCCCAGTGTTCCCATCCCTTAATCTGGTACATGCCAAAATGTCCTGAGAATGTCTTAGTGGCCGAGCGCCATGTTCTGAATTGGCCTAACTCTGGCCATCCTCTACTGCCTTCCTGAGCCGAAATAGTATATCCATACGATACCGTGATTTGGGCTTCTGCCCGACCAACTTGTGCTGATAGATGCAGATGTAGGAAGGAGGTCTTTTATTGTTTTCTTAAATTACAAGGGGATTTGGGGAATTGCTTCTTCCTCGCCTTCTGCCATCATGCTTTAGTCGTAAAGATCGTCATCGTTGCCTGCATCGCCGAAAGAGTTGCCAGCGTTACCAGCAGCACCAGCATCAGCTCCGTCAGGGAACTTGAAGTAGGCACCAGGGCCAGCATTCTTCATCTGCTGTGCAAAGGCCTCGTATCTTCGGATCTCCACATCGCTGACGGAACGGCGAGCCATCTGCATGGCCTCCTCGAAGTGAGCCTTTGTCAGCTCTGGAACAGGGTCCTCGGCATCTTCATCGACATCCATGTTGTCTCCAGCAGCCTCACGGGCCTTGGTGCGCTCAATGTCAAGTGAGATGGACTCCTTGATGGCAATCTTGACGGCACGCTGGGTGATGAAACCCAAATCGGCACCAGAGAAGCCGTGGGTCTTAGCAGCAATGTAGCCAAGGTCAATATCAGCGGCGACAGGGGTCTTGCGCAGCTGAGCCTTGAGAATACCAAGACGGCCAGGCTCATCAGGAAGGGGCACATAGATGAGCGAATCCAGACGGCCAGGACGGCAAAGAGCAGGGTCGAGCTGCTCGGGTCTGTTGGTAGCACCAATGACGAAAACGTTCTTCTTTGAAGTCATACCGTCCATTTCTGTTGATGGTGTTAGCTAAATGATGACAAATAATGTGTTATAGTAGAGCGCCATTAAACTTACCAGTCAAAAGCTGGTTAACAACACGGTCAGAGGCACCGCCAGCGTCGCCGACAGAGCCACCACGAGCCTTGGCAATGGAATCCAACTCGTCGAGGAAAACAACGCAAGGAGCGGCCGCTCGGGCCTTGTCGAAAATATCTCTGATGTTGCTTTCGGACTCACCGAACCACATGCTGAGAAGTTCGGGTCCCTTGACGGAGATGAAGTTGGCAGCGCACTCGTTGGCAACGGCCTTGGCCAACATTGTCTTACCAGTACCAGGAGGTCCATAGAAAAGAACACCTCTGGACGGGGAGAGACCAAACTTGAGGAACTTCTCGGGGTGGTCGACAGGATACTGGACACTCTCTCGGAGATCCTGCTTGACCTCTTCGAGACCACCGATATCCTCCCAGCGGACGTTGGGGACTTCGACGACGGCAACCTCACGAAGAGCAGAGGGGTTGGACACGCCCAGAGCGAATCGGAAGTTCTCCATGGTGACACCTAGGGAGTCCAAGACTTCGGCGTCGATGGTGTCCTCATCGAGATCGATGAGATCCATCTTCTCACGAATCTGCTGCATGGCGGCTTCGGAGCAGAGAGCAGCAACATCAGAACCGACGTAACCGTGGGTCTCGGCAGCAATTTGCTCCAGGTCGACATCATCGCCCAGCTTCATGTTCTTGGTGTGGATTTGGAGAATCTCCAGACGGCCAGTTGGGTCGGGAATACCAATGTCCACCTCACGGTCGAAACGACCGAATCGTCGCAGAGCCGGGTCAATGGAGTTGGGTCGGTTGGTGGCGGCCATGACGACAACGTTGGAACGAGCCTTCATACCGTCCATGAGGGTAAGGAGCTGGGAGACGACACGACGCTCAACTTCACCGTTGGTCTTTTCACGCTTGGGGGCGATGGAATCGATTTCATCGATAAAGATGATAGCAGGTGAGTTCTTCTCCGCCTCCTCGAAGGCTTTTCGCAGATTGGACTCGGACTCTCCAGCCATTTTAGACATGATCTCGGGGCCGTTGATGAGGAAGAAGAAAGCGCCAGTCTCGTTGGCAACAGCACGAGCCATGAGCGTCTTACCGGTACCGGGAGGACCGTAGAGCAAGACACCACGAGGCGGCTTGATACCAATTGACTTGAAAAGCTGAGGGTGACGGAGAGGAAGCTCAACCATTTCTCGGATCTGAGCCATCTGCTTACGGCATCCACCAATGTCGTCATAGCCGACCTCGTTCAGGTTATTCTCTTCCTCCTCTCGCTGGATAGGCTCGCCCTCGCAGTGAATAACGGTATCCTGAGCTACGATGCCGTATTCCGGAGGATCCACCTCGACAACCTTGAATTCAACTTGCCTCATACCACCACGTACGATAAACAAGTCTCCTTGCTTAACTGGTCTGTAGGCTTCGCGGAAGTATGGGGCGAGGAAAACGTCGAATAGTGAACCAGTAAGGCCCTCGACGGTGTCGGCAATAGGCAGCACAGCAATTCGCTTGGCCTATTCTATGGTTAGATATGCTACAGCAGCAATTTGAGAATATCGAGGCGGACTCACATATTTGATATCGGGGCAGGGGGAGATGGTAATCACGTCACCGTGCTTGACTCTGAGGTTATGGCGGACAACACGGTTGATTCTAGCACTTCCCTCATCCAGTTCCTCGTCTGCAAGGACGATCAGGACTGTCTCCTTTCTCTTCTTGCCTCGTACAAGGACGGTGTCACCGCGGAAGAGCTGGAGGGCGTCCATGGTGGCCTCGGACAGGGCGATAATGCTGTTGTCATCATTGACGGCATCGGTAACCCTGGTTTCAGTTAGAATATTGTTGGTTTTTCTGTATCCGAGTGTGAATGCCTACATCAGCTGGTTGGGCTTCTTCTTCTTCTTGAGAATGGCAGTGGCGGTGTCATCTTCCTGTCATAAAGTTAGCTTCCCCGCCCTGGATATCTAAGCATGGTGGGCTGAACGAACGTGCTTGATTTCCGCGCCGGAGGGGTCGCTGTGAGATGGTCAGATGCTTCCAGCTTCCTGATAACTATGCCAAGATGGCCTCCGGATGGGATCACATACGTCAAGTTGACCTTCTTCTTGTGCTCTTCAGGCTGAGAAGCCATGGTGTCTAATGACGACTGAGTTCACGACGATGTGGGGGGACGATGACGGAAACAAAGCCGGGGTTCGTGGAAGTCGAGGGAGAAAAACAAAAGACAAATGTGCTTCCTCCTCAACAGTGGTCTATGGGGGAAGGAGGAGAAGGATTCGATCTCGAATTTGGATTCGGGGAGGATGATATGAAGGAGAGAGAGTCCAGCGGCGAAAGCTAGAGGTGTCCGGAGAGTCCCTTCAGAGATCTGGCACACACCTGACGGCCTAAAGGCACCCGGCAGAGGGGCACGGGCCAATGGCAGCGCACGCTGCCCTGAGCGGAGCGGAATATCAATGATGCTCGGGCGCTGAGCTGCGCTACGGCACTCGTTTGTCACTGCGAGGCTGCAGCTCGCCCAACAGAGTGGAATCTTCTGCCGCCTTCCACTGAAAAGCCGCCAGGCAACTGGGGACGCGCAACCGGCATTTTGCTGCAGCCAGTGCCTGGTAGCGCGTACGATAACCAGCTGTAGCCTGGCGAAACGGTTTATTAAGCAGAGCACGTTCAGGACAGTTCTATGTATTGCCACAGGAGGCGGCTATTTGCCCCTTCATACAATAGAGCAGTAGTAAAGGAATTGATTATAGTGAATTTGCATTTAATATTTTTGCTTCTACGCCGCACTGTGGCAAGCATTGGACGACCATTCAATACCTTGATGGCTTCACCTCACCAGCGTATTATTTCGATGAAGTCATACCACTAGATACATTAGTGCCACCTAAATTAACTACCTAAGGTACCTAACCCTTCCAAGTTGACAGCTCCATTCGCCAATGCCTCTTTAACAGTATTCCTACCGATGCATCTTGTGTAGTTATTATCCATGCGAATTCTCGCTTCTCAATAGTAAGAGATCGTAGAGGACTATTTTAACGTCAAAACACCAGTCTATTCATTCAATGCTGCTTTTGCTAGGTACTATTATCTTCATTGCTGCGGGCGGATATGGCCACTCATATGTCGCTTGTAGTATATCCGATATCGCCTACCCTAAAACGCGATATGCTTGGGTCCAGGCTTCGTCTTGGCCCGTATCACAGTTCAACTCAAGTTGCGCATAGACGTAGGCTTGTCGGGCTTATTTAGAGCGCGTAGGATCCGATGGTCGGTTGAGACTGGCTCCCTCAAACTCCCTACTCATTCTCAAACGTATTGTTGAGGTAGTTGACAAACGACTCTCGCAGCGCATCGGCAGCCATGTTCGTCACCTTCTCCAGCCCAATACCCCCTCTATTCAGCCCCATAAAGGCCCTCCGATGTCTCTGCAGCTCTGGCAAGCCAACCTTTCTCGCCGCCGGCAGCTCAATAACAAGATCCTTCTTGCCACCCGTGCCAAGGGGCACTTTCACCTCCCCGCCACCATCGTCGCCTTGCTGATCCAAAACTCGCTTCACAATGTCTTGTGTTTCACGATCTAGCACATATAAGTAATCGCCACTCGCATCGCGCCCGCGTGGCTCTGTAGCCTGGTTTGGCTTGATAACTTTGCGGCCGTCTCCAGCAATCGCCTCCCAAAGAGAGTCGAATGTTCTCTTCAACTGTTGCTCGTCATCTTCCCATATTACTGTAAATAGAGGGCTATCCCAGCGGGTCATAGGATTGGGCTCTTCGTGACGGAAGACGAGATTCTCCCAGTTTGCAGGCTCATACGCCTCTGTAGTGTCGCCTGGCGCATCGTTTGGTACATCGCTTCCCTCCTGCTCGACAGCAGCAGCTTGGTCTCGTTTTAGCCTGTCTTCGTTGACCTGCTGTGCGCGCTCTTTGGAGCATCCAATCTGCAATATGCAGCTCGGGGTTCGGACGGCTTTCGCTTCACAGTGCAGCTGGTACCGCCAGCCTTTGATGTAGTTCAATCCATCCAGAATAACAATGTCTTTGTCGCTCAGAACCCTCTTTACAGCTCCATAGATGGCTGCTCTGGCATTCTTTTCGCTCGCATTTGCTGATCTTGCGTGCACTGGCACCGTAGAGAGATCGTATACTGTTCGTGATATCGATAGAGAATCGTCTGATATCAGATGCAACCGGTACTTTGTTCCGGCTATGCGGGCGGTAAGATAGTCATGTAGTTGGTTCGCCCTCGTCGATTTGCCCGACGTCGGCAGACCCGTGAGAATGATGAGCTATAGAGAAAACCATGACAACCATGTTAAAATGGGAACCCCTCTCTTGCCATGTTTGGTGGCGTGGTGTTTTGCGCGCAAAAGCACGCAGCGAACGACGTACGTACCGGCATCTTGTTGCCGAAGTCAAGGACAATCTATCCTTGGTATTCTTCTTGATGCTGTCGCATGCATGTGGGTGGAAAGGATTTTGTGTGGCGGCACAAGTGCTCTAGCTTAGTGCAATTTTTGGCGGTGCAAATGAGAAGCGCCGAGCGACGTCTCTGCGAAATCTTTGCCGATGCCAGACGCCATCGCTTTCGGTACATGCCTCCTTTGCGCTGCCAATAGAAAAACGGTCCATTATGATCAAAATATGCTTATTGTAAAATGAGAGTAAAACAATACATTTTACAATTATTAGGACTCTGTTGCTCTGACTTGTTACCTAACGAAGGCGGTTGAAGGCACAAAATAAGCGAGACCACGAACAAAATTTGTGCCCAAGATTTGTTTTGATATTAGATCGTATGAAATGATGTCAACAAAATAGGCGAGAAGGATAAAAAGGCTAGATAGCATATAGATGGCGGTACAGGAAAGATAAATGGAGGCGTATATGCCAGTATTTGTATGATAGCAGCGATTCTTAGATATCGGACAATATTATAACACCCTTAGCTGAGTCGCTAGTAAGTCGTTCAGGTCTCGCTATGGCCGCAGCATTGTGTAATTGCGGGGGTATCCAAAGAGGTGAGTCTCGGTTATGGGATAATACTGGATCCAACATTGCTCTACTGTTACATGACGGGCTTATCCTTGCAAAGCCAACCCAGCTGTTCTTATTCAATCCAAACTGAAGAGGCTGAGGAGGCACAGGATCAAGATGCCTCACTAGCGCTCTCCTAGAGATGATCCAAGACCACAAGGCTTCGTAAACAAGCCTTTCGTCTTGGCAAATTGAAACGATTTCCGCGTATTCTCGGGTACGCCGTCCCGCAGCGATGGACCAAAGAAAGCAGCCAAAACAACCAAATGGGAAAATATACGCGGCTGAGGCAGCCCTCTCTGAAAATAATTTCCCTTTTCGAACAAGCCATTCGAGGGTTCTGGCGCAGGGCCAGCTCCCCAGTGCACCGCCCCAATGCGCCCAGCCGCAGCTTACAGCGCTCTAGCTCTGAAAACGTCCATCGATTCGAGCAAAAGAAGCCGTTAGCCGTGCTTGACGAGCTCCGACTGCCGATTAAGTGGGTCGCGGCAAGCAGATAAGACGCGATAAGAATCAAAAGCCACCAGGGGTAACGGAGATGGCGCTATTCCATACTGGGTAATCTTTTCGACGCAACCAATGAGCGTTGGCAGTTCCTGGAACTTACGAAGCCTTGAACCTTTTGTTGCTCCTTTCGAGGCGTTGACGACGGCGACGACGACGACTCATTAAAAGTTTTGAGTGGAGGGGCTGGCGAAGGAAGCGGTTTTCTGCTGTCAGCCTAACTATGTCGTAGCGTTGTAATGCGCATGGGGAAGTTAGATAGTTCTAATAGAAAATATATATAACTTGAGCTTGCTTCACTTCGTTGCTGGGAATCAATACTTGCACCATTATCACCTTACTCAACTCTCAATAGACTTGAGCGGCATCTTTGGTCTATACTATTAGAAGAGAATTAGATTTGTATATTTGTGCACATCTATTTTGGCTTGTCTTGTCTATAACCTTTCGCTTATTTTCAACTCATATTCCTCTCCACTTCGACCTTTGACCCTCGACTTACACGTGCGCGAGCACACTCTCAACACTACAATGGGTCGCCCTCTTCAAGCCTACGACGACATTGCTATCGCCGAGCTTGTGTTCTACACCTTCGCCCTTGGAGGGGGCATCTTCCTCTGCCTCAAGCATGGCTTCGCCAAGAACGCCGGCTTTCGATCCCTCATCCTCCTCTCTCTTGCTCGAATCATCGGTGCCTCCTTTCGCTTGGCAACCATTTCATCTCCCGATAATGTCAATCTTTACATTGGATGGATGACGCTCAACGGTATTGGCCTTGCGCCTCTTATCATGCTTGCTATTGGTCTTCTAAGTCGCGTCTTCGAGTCCATCCAGCGGCGAAAGGGGAGCGTCGTCATCAAGCCTCAGCACCAGAGATTTGTTGAAATCCTCATGCTGCTTGCCATCATCCTCCTCATTGTCGGTGGCACTCAGTCCAATTTCACCATCACCGACGGCAAGCCAAAGGTCGATTATTCTACCATCAGCCATGCTGCCGAGGGCATCTTGATTGCAATCGCAGCTCTCCTGGCCCTTGCCATCGCTCTCGCCATCCTTAACCAGAAATACGTCGGCGTGGGTGAACACCGCATCATCTTCACCGTGGCTGTCTGCTTCCCATTCATCCTTGTTCGCCTTGTCTACTCCTGTCTCATCATCTTTGGCGGTGTTACTTCCACTGCTTGGCTCTATCTGGGTCTGTCCTCTCTAATGGAGATGATTGTCACGCTGTTCTCAGAAGTTCTTGGATTCAGCTTGGACAAGGCAGGCCCACAGCCAGTTCCTCGAAACGACGAAGAGGGGCAAGCTTTTAGCAGTAAGTAGGATAACTGCTTTCGAGAGGTCTTCAATGGTGGGGATGTTTTCAGTATGGGTTACTAAGGGCAAACAAAGGTTACAATAGGGTCAGCGCGGAACAGGAATGGGATTATTAAAGTAATAAATACTCTTGTGAGAATTATGGCGAGACATAGTGATACCTATACAGAGTTTAGATCGTTTTCGTTCTTTTCACAAAAGAATCATTGTTTTCTAGAATATATTAATTCTTAACTTTATTCTCTTAATACTCATTTGGCTCCGTTATCCAAAATTTATCATATTCGTCCAGATATGACTAAAACGCCATGTGGTATATGTGCATATCCAAAAGGAAAAATTGCTTGAAGCAGAAAAAATAGCCTTAAATGCCACTCGCATATCAAAATTTAGCAGCACCGTCGCATTAATATAGTCGTCGTCCCCAAGATCCACTTTACATAACCGTACAGCAAGCCTTTTCCAGCTTGCGCAGGAGAAGTGGAAGCAGACCATCGCCGAACTCGTCCTCCTGCTGTTGCTGTTGCTGCTGCTGGTGGTGCTGCTGCTGCTGGTGTGGAGGCCGATGCTGACCACCATGCTGCTGCTGTTGTCCGTGATGCGGCTGGTACCCTTGGTCTTGGTAGCCGTCGCCGTATCCGCCATGCTGCGGCGGAACAGGCTCTCCGCCCTGGAGATTGATGTATATCCTTCCAGAATTCTCCTCTGTGCTATACTGGAGTCCCAGCTCGCGACATAGTTCCTCCACCTTGGGCTTGAGCTTCTGAACGTGGTTGGCCGAGTGGTTGCCCTTGCCGACAATAGCGTGCAAGTGCGTCTGGCCCCGAGCCTGATCCGCGCGGATGCGCTGTTCGAGAATGCGCTCCGCCTCTTCGATGAATTGGCCGTGCAGGTCGATGCTGTCGGCGTCGACACGGCCGGGGGCGTTGTTCTCCCGGAAGATGTAGTCGGAAGCCTGGTGGTTGTATTCCTTCATCTTGGCATCGTGGGCCTTGCCCTGGTTGGACAATTCCTTCGCTCTGGCGCCGTCGCCATCCTCGTACGCGCGCTTCGACTAAACGCGCCCCCAGAAAGAACATGTCAGTATATACAGTCGATCCTTTTTCGCAACCTGTGCCTGATGTGTGCTGTGAAGGCTGGAGAGGAAGGGCCACACGGTCGACGGTTCAACGTACACGTTCGAAGCAATCGCCACGCTTCTGTGCTTCAGCGCGGGCCATATCGCGAAGGCGGTCGTACTCGCGCTCTACTTCGGGGTTCTCCTCATGATGGAAGGCTGCTCTTTTGGTCAGTCAATTGGAGAACCAGGCAGGGCAATCAGCAACTTACCGCGACTGCCCAATTGCGTCATAGGAATCGACATTTTTGCAATTTATTTAGAGACGCAGATTCTTTGGAGTTTCGAATACCCTCGATGCAGCGATTTGGGACACGAGCGACGCAGCGTAGACGAAAAGCGCCGTGGTCAAGAGCAAAACTCGGTGGTTGGAAGCTGGGCGCTTGGAGATTTTGGGCGGCCAGTTGAATACTGTAGGCGGTGCCTGGATTTGTTGGCGCCGGCGAGTCGGCTGGAACCCGGGCCAACCATATCTGAGGGATCGGTCGCATTGCCGATCGGCGCCTCCACTGACAGCGCAGCATTCAATAAGCTTACTGCTTTTGTTTCTTCCAGTATAAACGGCCAGATTGGATTCGAGCAATTTGAAAAGATAAGATTGCCCAACTGCCTCGTCATAACATAGATGACGTGGTATAGATAGATTTGGATTTGCCATCTTGGGTTTGCCAGAATCGTGTAACTGTAAAAAAAAGGCTGCAAGTAACAAATTCACCCAATTGGATCAACGTGGATTTATAAATCATTGTGAGAATGTTCTTGTATCAACTAGAAGGCTAGATATACAAGATACAGAATGAAGCACTTAGTATCATCGCCTGCGGGTGTAAAAGTTCATATGTAGCCCTCCCTTTAGCTTTCGGCTTTAGGTTATTCCAACCTTCTTCGGCCAATTCTTCTATCTCAAGATGTTCATAAATCTGCATTTGAGAAGACCACGTCATCATGTCATGATATTTAGCAACTGTAGTCCAGTCATGATTTGCTGGGTTTTGTTGCTTTCTTCGTATACTCTGCCGTATGCTATGAAATAGCTTAAAACTGCCAATAGACCCATGTGTGGAGGTTGCTGCTACATTTGCACGTGTTGGATACAGCAACAATGCCCTCCAGTGCTACGACATGTCTGTCTCATCACATTTAGAATTGCCTTGTCGTATTCTGCCCTCCTATCATCGCGCCTACAGCCATGCTTGCTCCCCACGTGTATACCCTAATGTCTCCGTCCAGCATTCGGCTAAATCCCCAGAAGCTCTTCTCCCCTAAAGAGAAATTGAGTGGTCTCCAGATAGAGATTGCGTCTAAATATTCGTCCCTAATACGATAGTTCCATCGAACCAGCCTACAATGGGACTCGCCGCCTCGAAGCCATGTGTTAATCCCTGCATGGCTAGCAATCTGGTGAATGCACCAGCAACGCCCATCTCATACTAGCGACCAGCCAGGGCCCACGCCAGTGGTGATGGAGAATTACAAGTACGGGCTTGGCGCAGGGCGATGAAATTAAAGAAAAATTAGCACTAGTGATAGTATTAGCAGTAGTACGGAGCAACAGGATCTATTTTGCGATTCCTGGAGAAGCCCGTCGTAATCAAACATGACTGCCGTTCCGTTACTTTGACAACCTCATGTCTGCCCTACCTAAGGTTCTAAAGGGGGCTGCACACTGCGGTCGGTTCTGTCTCTTCCATGCTTGTTCGGAGAACTTCAGACATGCACGGTGCAGTCTCATTTCACAGCTATAAATACCTTGAAACCGAAGCGGATGAGACGAGAGACAGCACCGACCAGCTATCCACGTGGATGTAATTCTGCAGATGTGCCGGATGATTCGAGATGAGCTGAAGAACGCGAGATGAGCGTTTCGATATGGGGAAGCAAACAAGCGGTGTAGAGATTACTTATCCTAAGCGTACACGCAAGGCCCGAGAAGCATTCACTTGTTTTATCCTCTATTACAAACGGCATCAAGATGTTGATTGCATACGCCAAGGTGTACTTGCTCTGCTTATGTATGGGGTTATATATGTACATTCGCTTACCTAGCCCCCCATCGTCACGCTCTCCCAAGGACGTGCCGGGGTCGAGTGTTCAAACACAGGTCGTATAAAAATCGTCAATATCGGACGACTGTGAAAAGGAATAGGAAAGGATCTACCATACATTCCCAGCCCTATTACGGAGCACGAGTTTCGGAAGCAGACAAGGGGATGGGACAGGCATTCTAGCCGAGCGCCCTGGAGATCGTGGACGCCATGCGACAGGGCAATTTTTGAGAAGCCGCACACGACTTTCGTCATGGTTTTGTCTGGTGTCAACAACCTTGTCCGTTCCTTTTTTTTTTTCCATTTTCCCTGCTCGTAGTTCTAATTCTTCGTTGATCTGGCAAGGACATTATAATCTTATGCCATCATAAGTTTGCCCACTATTTTCAGACAATATGGCAGGAGACTTTAAACGACATCGTACATATGTATTTACGTAAGCAGCTGAGCACTTTGCAGAGTTGTGTAGTTGGTAGAAACACTTGATAATGGGTTGTGTATATAATGGATTTGTATCATGTAGGTAGGAAATAGATTTGTATACCGTATCGGGAGAGTCATGCTCTCATGATATTCAACGATGATCATGATGATCACTTCGCCAGTCCGGGGACATAATAGGCCACTACTGCATCTATAGCGATTCAGCAGAAACAGATGATCGGAGTCTTCAATCATGGTGCAACGAATACTATCATCGGCTTTACGACCTGGAAATAGTTAGATGTGAAGGCACTACTGTTAAGCTAATGCAGTTCATGACGGTGCTCGTATCACGTACATCTTTCGGTGTGAACTGAATTGCTATCGTGATGGGCAGGAGGAATATCATTCCAAACTTAAATCAGAGACAACTTTGATACTTGGATCAAGGCAGCAGTGCAACTTTTTTGCGCCCCGTACTGTAGGAACGGCTTTGGCAGGCCTTGAACTGCCCTGTCATATCTAGCAGCCGCCCGCCCCCCGTTCAGGGGGACGAAGCCGTTAGAGGGGAGAAGCCCTGCTTTGGATTTGGATGATCACTGTCTCATCCGCCTCTTGATATGTATAAGATCCACCAAGTGCGAGCGAAAGAGCTAGGCTGATCGCGACGCGCCACGGCCTGTTGGCTCAGGCATGGGCCGGAGTGACTGTGCTGTGCTGCCAATAGAAAAATCCTACCGTAATGGCCACAGCAGTAACCAATACTACCCAGTTGGTCGTTCAATCGGCTTGTCTGCAGCGCCAAGCGGAGCAAGAATGGCGACCAGCCTCGATGCATGAGGCTGCGGGCGCATGTTTCGGGTGACGATGACCGGTTGTGACAGTCTCCGAACAGATGCATGTACTTGCATGTATAAGCAATCGTCGAGTCCTAGATATTAGCGTCATTTGTATGCACATGGAATTGAAATCTTGTCTGACAAGTCTTGTTTGCGATTGCAGCTCTCAGAGCGGCCATGTAAGTGGTCAGATGATAACCCACGACCGGTTCCAGTTCACTTATCAACGCTCCGTGCCGCCTCTCAGCCCGCGACACTGGTTAGAAGGCACAAGCATGGAGCACAAGTACATGCTGCCAGACTGCAGCATAAACCGGGGCAGTTAATGAGGGTCAAGTCAGTCAACCTGCCTGTCTGTGGAGCAGGCCCAAAGAGGCTGCTAGCGATTCGGCGCAGTTGAGCGCTCAGGACAGCACTGAGGGCCTGTGGCCTTGGCAGCGCAGGACAAAGTATCAAATCTGTGTTACCGCAGTAGCAGATCCTGCTCAAACATTAGCACTGGCCGCGGAATGCTGCCATCGAGTGCTGATGCCTTCTTACAGCACAGCTGGTTGTGCGGGATACGAGAATTCGCATGGGGACGCAAAAGTCCGTTGTGCTTCGTGCAAACTTGATCAGGGCACTTGTGCCTGACTGGTAGCTGCCCCGTACTCCGTACTAAGAAATGATACCAGCTGGCCCCAGATTGCCACAGGCCTGCTAGCATTACGGAGTAGCGGGGCATAATGTGTGAGGACGCTGGTACGTAGCGCCAAACCAAGCATATTTCGTCTGAACCTGACCCCTGGGCCATGCAAGAGCCTTGATTTGGCGTTGATCTCTTTGCATCTTTTTTTTTCTTTCGCGTGACAAACGTGTGGCCCCTTATTCTGCTGGTGAAGACGAACGATTCTGCTTCAGAGGGCAGCATTGTGTTTTAGTGCCCGTATAGCACTACCGAGGCGCGACACACTGCATACTGTGCAGGTACATCGAGGTGTAGCTTCTGCTCGTGAAAACGGTGGCGTGTCTCTTACAAGTAAGTTCGTTTTACTGCTCTGCTGCAGCTGCATCTCGGCTCGATACGTTCACATGCAGCCAGACTAATGCGCCGTATTGCGTATGCATTACCTATGCATCTGTGCTACGGTTCGATGGGCATCTATCAAATCAATCGATCCGTCTCGAGCTAGAAGATGCCTCATGGTGTTGTGTAGGTATGTAGTATGTACGTGTGTATATCCTTCTTTGGTTGATTGCCTCTGCTGTAGCAAACACCGCCGACACCTACATACAGTACACGCTATTACCTGGAAGACAACAGCACATGATATGGAATGGATATTTCCTGTAATGGTAAGGCGGGACGGCGTGCTCCGTTCCCCATCCGACTTATTGAAATCGTACGGAGCTCCAAGTCCAAGCGGACCAAGACCAGACCGTTGTTCTGGGAATTGGGACGGAGTAACTGAAAAGACACTTCTCATTTGTTCGAGAAGCCTCGAGCTACGCGACTAGAGCACTGAGAAACGGAGCAAGCAATATTGTGGCCCCCTGGTCGAGACACCCCTAGCTCCCTGGAGCGGATCCGCTTTTGCAGCAGCAATTGCCCAGGAAGACGCAAATTGTGGCGATCATCAGCGATGGCGAGCAGCAAAGCGCGGTCTACCTACTCTTTTGGCGCCGGACGTGCTGCAGTGCTAGTATAGGTAGGTGAGGAGCATGTGCCTCGCAAGCCTCGCTTCTGAGATTGCTTACTGCTGCTGCTAATAAGGGAAGATTTTAGTACGGTATAGGATTGAAGTCAGTATCCTGCCTAGTGAATACAGGTATGAATCAGTACAAAACATGTAGTAATTACACATACACGCCGCAGTCTATAGAGTAGGTGGAGGTACGTAATAGGTAGTCAATGACACATCGGCAGAGCAAACATGCAGGCAGCCAAGCAGGTCAGCACATCGTCGATATTAAAATTGAACATCACGATGGTTGAATTACCTGCTGCAGCGTCAAAATATTAGCCCGTCGTGCAGGGGATCCCCATGTCCGCTGCCTACTGCTCTAGGACATTTGCTCCACCGCGAATGGTTAGCGACTCCAGGCTTGCTTCAAGGCTTCCCGGCGCTCTCACTGGCCCAGACCAGGGGCGCAACTGAGCCGGCTAAGACTCTAACCCCCGTTCGTGCCAAATTGAGCATCCCAGAGTCCATGTGGCATGATGATTGGCCGCTTCACCAGGACGAGGCGGCCTGAGAACTGGGAGCAGAATATTAAAGTACGGGATACCGCAGAGTAGTGCGTGCATAAGTGCAGCTGGCACCGCAAACACTGAGCGTGCCAAGTACAGGTACCGCGCGCTCGTACCAGCGTCTGGTCCATCTCTGAGCCCCCGGAGGATTTGTCGAACGGCAGACGAAGTAAACGAAGGTGTAGGAGGCAAGCGACCCATTGGCCGCGATAAGCATCCATCCGAAGCCTCTTTTCTCTTGTGCCTCGCCTGGTCTGTGTTGCATCGCAGCGCCTTGCCTGCGTATTGCGTGGGATTGGCTAACCGACCTCCAAACCAGCAAAAGAAGGAAAGAAAAGGGAAAAAAAAGGGACTCTCGCCCACGCCGATGCGAGGCCCTGCGGCAAAGCTGCCTGCTCTAGCTCTGCCCTGTCTGCGTCTGCGTCTGCGTCTGCCGATTTGGAAATGGAGGGAAATGAAATTACTGTCATGCTCAGACGCCTGCTGATACGGTACCTGCACAGTATGCGCCACTGGCCGTGCAACCTGGGTGGGATGTGCAATTAAAAACAACCTCAGGTACCTTTTTGCATCCCGGCCAAGCCACCCACAGCTCTGCTCTGCTATGATTACAGCAGGATGGGCGAGGCAAGGCCCGGGTACAGGTACGGAGCCCAGCAGATGGAGCTTGGCGGATGTCGCACGCAGTACGCACGGAGTACTCGCGCAAAAGGGGACTCATAGTGCGAAATGACCTCGTTTCAGCGCCGCCGCGCGCGTCTATGCACTGTGCTATCCACCGGTTCGGGCGGACATTGGCCTTGCTGCGCGCACTTTGGCCGCCATAACGTGACGGCTCCTCGCAGCGCGCTCCCTGCTGCAGCGGCGGCTCCACCGCTGGAGCTGGAGCTCTGCCCCCCCTGGCCAGCTCCACAGTCTCCAGGGCGCCTTCAGGTACGGTGCAGCACAAGTACTCCCGCGCTCCCTTTTCTCGCGCTGGCGCCAGCACTAGTACAAGTACTTGCAGGTATAGCCCCCTTACTTGCACGGCAATAGTACCTCCTTCTCGGCCATACCCAGCTTGTTAGTCCCAGCGCAGGACTCTCTCGCCATCCTCCCCAGCCGCTTTTGCTCCTCTCGCCCCCCCAAATCTCCATTTCCGTCGCGGATCTCATTTCCACGACGCCCAGTTCTGCGTCTTCAAACCTGCGCACCAACTCTTTCCTTGGTCATCTTCTCTTCTCTTGTTTGCGATTATTTGTTTGTGTCCGTCTTGAATTGCCCGCCATTGGCATTCATCCTCGCCTAGCAGGCCGTATTCTATAGTAAGCTCTACCCGCCTCCCTTTTCCGTTGCTCTTTGCTTTTTTCCATTCGCCTTCATTCCGCCTTGGAGAGCCTTTTCCTCCGGTTGTCCTCTTTTTTTCTTGTTCTGTGGAAATAGGGCTTCCCCAACCGCGACGTGCGCTTTTCACCTCTCTTCGACTATCAGCGAGTTCGTGAGCGACCACGACGCGAGCTCTCTTCATCGGGTCATTGTCGCTTTCCGCTGATTGCATCGCGTGCACCTCGTCGCGATTGCTCGTACGAGCCGCTGGCGGCACAGCTTTTCTTCGGCGAATTCCCTGGCTAACAGATCCTGCTTGTCTCCAGTACCTACCGTTCTGCAACATTGGCGACTCCAGACACGCAGCATATACGCGAATCATTCATTTACGCCTTCCTTACAGCTTTCTTTTTTTAAGATTTAATCAGAGCAACCCTCACAACCGCCAAGATGGGTTGCGGAATGTCTACAGAGGACAAGGAGGGCAAGGCCCGAAACGAGGAGATTGAGAATCAGCTCAAGCGAGACAAGATGATGCAGCGCAACGAGATCAAGATGTTACTTCTGGGTACGTATCACCATCTGCCGGCATTCGATGCAGAAATTTTCACCTGTCCATTAGCTGCCGAATTTGCAGTCCGACTAACCCTGGATTACCAATAGGTGCTGGTGAATCTGGAAAGTCTACTATTCTCAAGCAGATGAAGCTGATCCACGAGGGTGGCTACTCTCGCGACGAGCGCGAGTCGTTCAAGGAAATCATCTTCAGCAACACCGTTCAGTCGATGCGCGTCATTCTCGAGGCCATGGAGTCTCTTGAGCTGCCCCTTGAGGATCAGCGCATGGAGTACCACGTCCAGACCATTTTCATCCAACCCGCTCAGATCGAAGGCGATGTTCTGCCCCCGGAAGTCGGAGGTGCTATCGAGGCTCTGTGGAAGGACCACGGCGTGCAGGAGTGTTTCAAGCGATCTCGCGAATATCAGCTGAACGACTCGGCAAGATAGTTAGTCTCCCCATCCCGTCTCTCTCTTTCGCCCGCTTTCGCTGGCACCGCCAAAAATCTCACTCACATGCTGACTTCTGCACCAGTTACTTCGATAATATCGCGCGAATTGCCGCTCCCGACTACATGCCCAACGACCAGGACGTGCTCCGATCACGTGTCAAGACCACTGGTATCACCGAGACGACATTTATCATCGGCGATCTGACCTACCGAATGTTCGATGTCGGTGGTCAGCGATCTGAGCGAAAGAAGTGGATTCACTGCTTCGAGAACGTCACAACAATTCTGTTCCTGGTCGCCATTTCCGAGTACGATCAGCTGCTGTTTGAGGATGAGACCGTCAACCGAATGCAGGAAGCTCTGACGCTCTTTGACTCAATTTGCAACTCCAGATGGTTCATCAAGACCTCCATCATTCTCTTCCTCAACAAGATCGACAGATTCAAGGAGAAGCTGCCGGTCAGCCCGATGAAGAACTACTTCCCCGATTACGAGGGCGGTGATGACTATGCGGCGGCGTGCGACTACATCCTGAACCGATTTGTCAGCCTGAACCAGCACGAGACCAAGCAAATCTACACGCACTTCACTTGCGCCACAGATACCACCCAGATCCGCTTTGTCATGGCGGCAGTCAACGGTATGCGATTTTCCCCTCTTGCATTTTTTCGTATTCAATGTCACTAACTATCTGCGCTAGATATCATTATTCAGGAGAACCTCCGTTTATGCGGTCTCATCTAGACGACTTGTCTTTTCTCTATTCTTTTTTTCTATTTTTGTTTTAAGACGCACGAATACCCTCAAACTCGATTACGACCGCCACCAGATGGGCCACGGAGATACGGCTCATGATCTTTGATTGTACTCCTTGCGAGATGAAAGCCAGCTCAAGGAATTTCTCTTTTCTTTTCTTGCGGGCTTCTCCTTGGCAATCTTTCACCGTCCTAGATAATGGTACTTTTCTTTTTTCTAAAGTTGAGACTCTTTATGGCGAACCATTTCGGCATTTTACAGCACTTTGTGAGAGCCCTCCATCGCAAGGATTGTCGAGAGATGCTTGTGTATTACCAAAAATAAAACCCATCCTCTCTGGTTTCTTTTCAACTCATTAAAAGAAAGAGGAACGCGGCAGGGGCTAAACGGAGCGTGAAAGACTTGGGCGTGGAGGAGTTGTGAGCCGTCTAAGGAAGAGGAGAAAAAGCGGGCGCGGCAGCTCTTTGGGAAGAAGGGGGGATACTTATTACCTTGTTTTTTCAATTTTCTTTTTTTATTTTACATCTGACACGATGGTGCGAATGGGCGGCGGCCATTTACTTTGTTTAATTATGAAACCACATTTTTTTCTGCCCTTCTCTGTCTCTCTCTGCGGCTTTGTCCCTCGTCGTTGAAAAGAAAAAACCAATGTGTATTACAGTCATCCATCATATTCCAGTTTTTGTTTGTGTATTTGCATATTCATCGTTTGCCCTCTCTTATTTCTGTTTAAGCCTTGCTCTATCATTAATGTTTCGTTCGCCTGTGAACAACTCTTTTTCGCTTCCTTTTTCTTCTTGTTTTCTTACCTTTTTTCTTAATTTTTTCCTTTTCTTTTTTTGGATCTGAGCTTACGCGTAAAGGACTACTACTACAGCTTTGTTTTTGAGTTGTTAGAGAGAAGAGCGTGGAAACTGGTAGTACGATTTTCCTCTATTCTTTGCCGCCTTTTTCTTATTCGACATGGTGAGAAGAATACTTTTTGTATGGAAAGATGGTTGTAAAATTCTATTATTTTTATGTAATAAAGTCATGATTAACCTTTAACTTTCTTTCTTTCCATGGTGTACTGTTTTCTGCTGTAAACGCACTTTTGCGTGTGATGTTGATATATGTATCCATGGCAACTTGTGGTGAATACGCCAGGAGTATAAACGTAATATGCAACGAATGTCAAAATTACATGATACACGCGATGATAAATATATACCATTGGAGGCATTTCTAATGGGAGGTATAATCAATACAGAAACCAAAGGGGTATTATATGTGCTATTTAGCTTTTCCTAAGCAAGCAAACTATAAAAACCAAGTATATATCCTCTCAAAAAGATCATGCCAAATCCTCAAAATACCAATTTTTCATATGCGTGTAAAAATCGTCGCCAAATTCGTCATGTTAACTTGCCAGCCAGGGCAAACATATGACCAAATGTCCAGTATATAGTAGATGCGAGAAAAAGAAGAAGGGGGAAGAAAAGAAAGAACAATGGCGTGTCAACTGGCCAAAATGCATATATATAGAACAAGAGATGGAGAAAATATGCACCTGTAGGATTTTAGGTTTTTTTCCAATAGCTTTTCCTTATGAGGCATGCCGAAGTGGCGCCATCCAGAATGCATCGTATGGCTGATCGAATGAAAGATTCTCGAAATATACACAAGCTCGGTTTGTAGCCGCAATTTTTCTTTTAGTAGATGGAAGCAGCCTGAAGTCGAATCAGATATGGTAGGGAGACTGCCTTCAGAATCGCCTATAGTCGAGAGGATTAGTATTCGGAAAAGAGGTACAAATTTCTGGGCATGTACACACATATACATCTCATATACTAGCCAAAGAATAGGCTGATGCAATATCTTCCATGCCTTTTGTGATATAACTTTCTTCTTCTTTCGTCTTAATTACCGTCCCTGTTGCTGTAATCACAGAAGGGCAAGACATAGCAAAAGGTAGCGTGCGAGAATGAAAGGGCAGCAGCTCAAGTAAGAACATCGTCCGCAGGAGCATCGGCCATAGAAGCCTCAGTAGCCTGAGTGTCTCTATTCTGCGCTCGATCTCTATCCAGGGCAGCATTCTGCTCAGCAATGCCCTCTGGAGTCCGGAGAAACTCTTCGTATTCCGCGATTCTCATGCCGAGCTCCTTAGCAGCGGCCTCGATTCTCGCGAGGAAACGATCTCGTCGGGAGAAGGTGCTCACATCAGTAATCGTTTGGGTGATCAACTGCTTGGTCGACTCAGACAGACCCCAGTGATTGACATCCGTCGAGAGATTGACATTGGATGGCGATGGCTGTGCGATGGTGGGCTGTGAGAACAGGAGGTTTGCTCCTGAAGTGACAGTTGCTGCGAACAAGGTTTGTGGCTGCTGATGGTTGTTCTCTACATGAGATGGTTAAGTTAGAAACCTCCATCTGGTAGAAAAGGGAAGAAATCACTTGGGAGTCTGAGATCGAGCCAAAGACGAGATGAAATCCAGTGCCCGTAGCTAACGTGGGCAACATTGGAGAGAAGATGAGCAAAAAAAATAATCACAACTTACCATGAAACGTGCATCTTGAGCCGCTTGCATTGAACCAGCAGTTGGTGCAACTTCCACACATCTGGCCGTCGTATACAACGCACTGGGTCCAGGGACCATGGCCCTTGTGGCAGTTTTTGCAAGGCTTGGGGGCAGCTTGGCCTGTCATGTGGGCGAGCAAGGCCTCGACGTTGCTCCGGCGCTCAATGTTGAGCTTCTGATCGACGCGGCGCTGAGTCGGTTCACGCAGCGCAGTTTCGGCAGCGAGCTTTTTGCAGAGCGCACTGTCGATTTTGACCAGGTCTCCGTACGCTGCGTAGGCCAGGTCGGCTGCAGTGCGGGCAGAAGGATCTTCTGGCGACGAATGGTCAGGCATCTGGTGGTCGAGCTGGAACTCATCACCTGGGCGCATCGAGGCGCTGAGAGACGTGCGGATGGAGGTCATCGAGCTCCCATTGGCCAGCAGATTGACCGCGGTAAACTTATCAATGCCGTCAATCTGGGTTTCTTCAATGGGATCAGCCTCAGTAATCGACGTATCGAGCGCGGTTGCGTCGTGGTTGGCGTTGGAGTTGGCGTTGGCAGCCTCCTTTGCGTATTGCTTCAGCTGCTCCTGGGCAGCGGCAGAGAGAGATGACCGGCTGGCCCTACGAGCGGCAGGCCCGGGCGACGGCTTGGTCACTTTATTTGGGCGCGGTCGGCTTGGCATGGCGGGCGGCGTTGGCGACTGGTCGATGGCCAGTGAAACTCAGGACTTGTTCAAGCTCGCAGCCGATGAGCGTGTAAGTGAGATGGAATGGCGATGAGCGTGGGTGGGATTGGCAACAGCTGGGCGCAGCTGTCGAAGCCTGACAAGACGACGAACGCGTGGGGAATTTAGGCAGATTTATAGCCACACTGTGTTTCGGCATATTGGTTTCTATTGGTCGGCCATACTTCGCACTGTGTTAATATTGCTCTGCGCTCTCAAACCTGCTCAGGTCATCAGAATCAAGTCACTTTCAGCTCACTTATAGAGCGCATAGGAGCCTCTGTCTCAACTGTCCTCCATTTATCTTTGCTCTAGGATTAACGACTGTATGGCTTTCTTCTTGTCTATGCTCTGGAATTCGGTTGCTCCCAGATGCCTTGAGCTCTCCCCTCTGTGATCTCCTTCCATCGCTGGGCAAATTCCCTTAGACCCCCTTCTCCAGCCAGACTGGCGTCAACTACTTCTTTGGGGAGTTTATGAGCCGAGTACTGCGGCGAGCTGAAGTTGTATGCCTCCGGGTCATTCTTCTTGACGATGCGGACTTCTGGCTGGCGATTCGGGTCGTACTCGGCAGCATCACCGTCCATCTCGTCGGCCGTAGTCTCATCTCCACTTCCCTCTGCTGCCTGATCCTCCGAAACGGATCCATACAACGGATTCTCAACTTCCATAGTGAGAAGCTCCTCCCATGAGAAAAGCAGGCTGTCTGTGCTAGGGGCCCATGGGTTGATATCCATAAGTCTCACTTTTCCCAATCCATCTTCGGCAAAGGAGTTTCCAGGTATATAAATGTCAAACACGAAGCTTGAGTCGGGGAACGTCAGTCTCAGCTTTTGGCGGAAGAATTTCATAATCTTCTTCCACAGTTGTCCCCGGAGTGGTTCCAGAAATTCATAGTGATTAAGATCCCGCTGTGTAATTCCAATCAGCGACCTATGCTTTACGAAGCACCGAAATTCGAGGGCGACATGAGGTGTGAAGAAAGGTCTGAGAACAAGGACAGGGGTGAATGGTCTCATTGGTGGAGTATCGGTACAGTCGTCAAATGCGTGAAGGAGGTCATGCGAAACGAAGGAAGATGACTTCAGGAGGAGATAAATGTCGTTGGGAGATGTACATTTGAGCGTGTTCTGGTGTGGGGATATCCATTTGGCGTCCTTTGGAGATGACCAGTTCAGCTTTGGCGCAACGGAGCCGCCAAGCTCTGCAATTTTCTGCTTGATTAACTCGTGAATCTCCGGGAAGCGTTTATTTGGTGGAAGCCTTTCCTCCTCCTCTTCATCCTCCTCGTCGTCGGACTCATATGGAGTAATTCGCGGATGGCTAGCAGCGGGAGTTGACCATTCTTCGTCTTCTGGCTCGTTGGCCTCATCGTCGTCTGCGAGAATAATGCCATCTTCGTGTAGATATGATACGAATGCCGGAGATAGTGGTATAATTCGCGACTTTAGACATGAGCTCCGGTACTTGGGGAACCATGCTTCGTATGAACAATTTTGTATATGATCTCTACTGATGGGAGGGAAAGTAATTGCCGTCTCGCCCTCCGCGGGAGCACTCTCAGCTAAGTGTGGCATTTTGAGCAGGTTTATGGTGGGAAACAGATAGTTCTGAGAAAGAATAGAGATTAAAGATGTTTCAAGAGATGTACAGGGCCGTTTAAATGAGAATTTAGTCCTGCACTCATAAATGTTGACTCACATGCATTCGACGATGCAGGGTAAGAAAAGTGCTAGAGGGGCAATCTGCCCCTCCGTTATCGAGTTCTGCCGGGCTTTATCAGCGGCAAGGATTCACCGCCCGGTGCTAACCTCCACTATCTCGGGTCGCTGCTGGCCGCTGGAGCCGCTAATGATGACATTTGCTTGCAGCTGTCGGCCCAACCTCTGTACAACGAATTCATTCTCGACGCGACACACACTGAAGGAAATCCGCGTTTTATCGCCAAATTTAGCCACAACAGCCATGTCAGACAACGTTGGCCTTTCGACTCCGCGAGGAAGTGGTACCTCCGGCTACGTCCAGCGAAATCTTGCCCAAGTCAGGCCGCGCGACTACGGCGCGCCGTACCCCAAAGATCGGGACATGCGACACAAGCAGCGACAACCCGACAAAGGAATCCTCGAACATGATCGCAAGAGAGAGATTGAAGTAAAAGTCTTTGATCTGAGAGACAAGCTTGAGGAAGAAGAGTAGGTGCATCTCTTGGCTCAAGAAGCGTAGCTCTAGTTCTAACATACTTTGCAGAGTTGAGGAAGAGGAGATTGATCGCCGCTGCGATGAACTACGAAAGAAGCTGCTTGCAGAAATGAATTCGAGGAATAAAAACAATGCGCCGAGAAAGACGTTCAAAGAGCACCAGGTCCACGAGATGGCCGACGCGAAGATCAAGGAAAGCGAGCGACTAAGAAGAGCTCTTAAGATTAGCTCTGACTACGAAGAGGGAGGACACTGGAAGAAACAGGAGGAGAGGTTGAAGGATTCCCTGGCAAGGAAGGAAGAGGATGAAGAGAAGGATTGATTTATGTTCGCAGAGCTGTTGATGGCTTGCGATTTGAGACAGCAATCTACCCGACTACTATCCAGCTACTTGCGACTGGTACTAGCATATGAGTTGCACAGTGCCTTAAGGCAACAAAGACGATCATTACGGATACATACAGAACGTTTATCTCGGAAATTCAGGCCCTGATGAGTACTCTGGCTTGACAATTTTCCAGCAAGATATGGGCTTGAAATCGAGATTCATATGCAGTTGGCCCAGTCGATGGTTGGCTGATGGAACCCAGAGCTATATCGGCGCATTTACTGTCCAGCTAATTGAAAAGGGACGCAGCCTACGGGCAACATTGCGGTTCGATTTGGAAGGTGGCTCTCTTTCGGAAACTTCTTTCATTATTCTTTGAGCGACATTGGAGCATGCGGCGTTCTGCATGGCCTTACAAATCCATAGGGATTCTTTATTTCTAGAATATCACATTGGGAATTTCAAGATATCAGTAACGAGGCTGAGCTCCGGCAAGAGGTGCGCAATGCGCAATGCTGATTTCAGTATAATACGCTTTATGCTGTGGACCTCGCGAAGCGTTCCAATTTCTGAAGTTGGATCCATTGCAAAGGGTTCCCTCGTGGCTACAAAATCACAACTAGTATCCTGAATTACAAATAGGAAAACACAATATATAAGTACTAAGCTCTTATGTAGTACGTAGCAGCCTTGCAGTACTACCTAGTACTAGTAGTTGAGCGATGTTGGCCTTTTCGTCTTGTAGTGACATACAGTATGCGCATGAGTAAAAGCCGCCTGGTTGGTCAACTGTGGCGCACTGCCTAGCTTCAGCCACAGACCCTTGTAGCGACGTAATGCTACATGCGGTAGGTCGATTTGCATGTCTCATGCCAGGAACAACTTCTGTCGCAAATCTCGCCAGCAGTCCAAATAGAATAATTCTATAACCATCATGGCACTATTTCCCAATTTACCTGCTGGGGAACCGCCGAATTTGTCTCCAGTTGAGCTTTCGCAGCTCCTCTCCCGATTAAAGCAGTCTGTGCTACATCCGAGCCCCGAACGTGAACGAAGGCTGCGCAACAGCGAGTTTGAGAGGACGAGGGTCGAAGCTGTAAGGCTGGACGAATGTGTCGCAACTGGTTACGCTGCTGATGAGTCTTCATAGAACCTTCAATATGCGCGGGCGGCGCTTACAAAGCTAGAACAAACGCTACCGGGAAGGAGAGTAGATACACATGGCGATCTCACAGCGCAAAGGGAAATCCTAGATTTGTTATTTGACCGGTTAGACGACCTAAGAAAGGTATTTCGTCTTCGGTACAGAAAGACTTGGAACGAACCTAACATGATTCTCAGGTGGCTGTAGACGAAGACGATTCATCCGAAGGAGAAGATCTCCTGGGGGATATCATACCTACCCCGAGCGAGAGCGTAGACTCAAGACGATCATCGAACGCGCCAGGAGGGGACTCCTTTGAAGAGCCCAAAGTACCAGAGCCCGAGCCCCCTGAACCCCCGACGCAAACTGAAGCCATACCCGAGCCTCCCACGACTACGACTACGAGCGAACCTGCTGAGACGAGTACACGCGAAGTCCTCCCTACGCAAACGACACAAGCATTGCGCGCCCGCCACGAAGCCCCATCTCCAACTCCTTCATCCCACAGCACAGCTCGCGCCGCATTATTTGCCAGCCGCCGCAAACCTGCAAGCCCCCAAACTTCGACAGCCACGGCAGAGGCCATTCTTGATCAGCAGCGAGCAGAACAAGATGCCATCTCGAATTCTATCCTCGATCTGGCAAGCAAGCTAAAGGAAAGCTCTAAGAGCTTCTCAGCTACCCTCGAAGAGGACAAAAATCTACTTGGTGCTGCTGGAGCTAGCATGGAGAAATCAGAACTGAGTATGGAGGCGGCACAGGGCCGCATGGGGTCTCTTAAGAAGATGACTGAGGGGAAAGGCTGGTGGGGGAGGATGATGCTGTATGCGTGGGTATATGGCCTGATGGTGGCGTTGATATTGTTCGTATTTGTGTTTCCCAAACTGAGGTTTTGAAACGAGAGATGAAATGTTGGAGAAAGTTGATACTGAATGACGGATCATTATGAGGACAGTTGTAACGATTACGATATTGTACAGCATAGATGAAAGCGCTAATATTTCTTGACGTAATGTAATACTAGGTAGTCGAGCTATCTCTTCTTGGAATGGCTTTCTGCCATAGCTTTGGTTTCATATCCATGGTTCGCAAGGAGTAGCCATCCTGATTAATAGTCCAATGGTTTTGTCTGTGAAATGTTGAATGACATGGAAATGAAACCGAGTCACTCAGAAGACGCCACGGTCATATCAGGTTGCGGTAAATTTGGCACTCCTTTTACTTCCTGAGATAGTGCACACTCTTCTGTTTCAATCTCATGATGCGAGAAACGGTCCTCCTCGTCATTATCGGCGACACTGGATTCGGACTGCGGCTGGGAATCCGATTCACTATGTCCTTCATTAACGGGAACGATCTCATGATCGCAGCTATCCATGATCGATCGGCTTTGTGGTCCCGTCATTGTATCTTCATCTTCGACTTTAGCTGCTTCTTCTACAGGCGGCCAGGGCAACCCTCGCAGTTGGGCGTTAACTTGTAGACAATATTCGTAGCAGAATCGAAGACGGCGTCCAACGGGTTTCCCGCCTGTCTAAATCACGCCTCGTCTTAGTATCCATTAAGCAATAAAAAGTGGTGGGACAGAAAAGTACTGAGACGACGTTAACTTACTGGTGGCGAATACTGGAAGAATGAATTCGGCATCGTTTTCTGTTTAATTATGCGATCCTGCCATTCTATCCCCGTTTTGATGCGGAAAAAGCCCATGAACAGATCCATTTCTCGGCGCCAAGGCCCAGAGCAGGGACTTGGACGGTGGAACCTGGGTTGGCTGTCTCCCTTCTTCTTTATGAATTTGGCAGTGAACCAGTAGAGGTGGGGTTTGGCGTTGGATTCCCAGAGCTGTTTTGTATTTTGTCCATGTTAGTGAGCGGCACGCTTGCCGTGTGGTAGTTGATAGATAGATGCCTTACGTAGAGAGTGTATCGTTGCCCCAACTCTCCCTTTTCGTCATCATCGCGGGTAATATCGATTTGATATGAGAAGAACTCTCGGTCGATGTAAATGTGGAACAAGTCTAGTGATTATTTGTTTTATCAATATTATTCTTTAGCACCCAAGGAAAATCGTAGATATGCAATCTTACTTGTATTGACAGCTCTTTCGCCTTCTCTCTTCCCCCTTTCGATTCGAGCTAGTTCTCTCTTCGCCGCGTTTTGCTTGGCAAGGATATTTCTCATGGAATAGTCTCTCTCAGGCTCTTTCTTATCATTGACGGCGGATATCTCGAACCAGTCGCAGTGAACAATGTGTTGCTGTTTCCCTCGGGCTAGCGCCTCCTTGACTATAACTTGGTTAGATAATCTATGCTTAGGAGCAGAGGTGATTGTGTGTTGGCAATATATAATGATACTTCTTGGAAGTTTTTGGTTGAATTGTTCTCTAGTGCATAAAAGATGCGTGACATGCTCGTCAAAGTCCTCAGTGAAGACCCCTTTGCGGATTGTAGTCCATTGTCGTAGGCTGTCAACGGTGAGTTGGCCGGGAAGGGGGCCTGCTGTGGCGATGACGAGATTTTTGAATATTCGACGAGGCATCGTTGTAGATTATAGACAAAAAGCATAGATGAAGTTGTGAAGAGATGAAGAGACAACCGACGCTCTGAGAATCAGATTTCACACTGGAGTGGGATAGGAAGCAAATAAACTTAGATTACGGTCATTGTATTCGAAATTGGGCAAAATTGCAGCGGGATGAATTAGCACAGAAGGCATTGGCGGTGTGATAATTTTTCCTCTAAAGACAGCTCTTGCGAGAGCTTGGAGTTGTTTGGTGCTGAGAAGACGGATGTGATCAAGATCAACTGCAGCGTGGACATATGCTTTGTATAGCTAACCATAGACTACTTGCCCCTAGCCAATGAGAGAGAAATAATTTTGACTGTAAGCCATCAGCAGTGAGATACCAAGATGTGATGAATGGCAGAAGCATGTATTCAGTTTATCTAACTACGCATTTTCCATCCATTTATATCCCAACACAAGGTCTCTATTCTTGTCCATCTACCTAATTGCTTTTCCCGCATTGACAAAGGCGGTAATTCTAGCCAAGCTTTGCTTGCTGTCCTCCTCAACTCCACTGCTAACATCCACTCCAATCACCTGGCTGCTGTATTCTCCCAGAGCATTGACTGCTTCTGCAACATTCTCGGGGTTGAGGCCACCAGCCAAGAAGATTCTGAGATCTGGATCCTTTCGTAGTACCTCTTTTACGCTTGAGACGTCCAGCAGCTTCCCGGACCCGGCTCCGGAGTCCAGTAGAGGTACGGCATGATATCCTCGGATACCGAGGCTAGGATGTCCAGGCTTGAAGCAGCGAATGACAGGAACTGGAATAGCCTTGGCCCACTCGATTGGCTCCTCGCCATGAAGTTGAACCAGGTCCAAGTTGTAAAGCCTCTGCTTTTCCAAAACTTCGCTCAGGGGCTGGTTCTGGAATATGCCAACTACCTGGGTACGAGGAGTCTTGAGATTGTTTGCTGTGAGTGAGAAGAAATCTGTGGCGCTTGATGAAGGGATTGAGAGTTTAGCGGGGGCTACTGATAACTTGGTAGCCGAGTGAACTGCGTCCGCGATGGCCAAGGCAACCTCGTGGGAAACAGCTCGCCTAGCGCCGGGGACTAGGTTAACGCCAATAAAGTCGGCACCCGCCTTGACTGCCTCTAAGGCGGCTTCCACGCTTCTTGTGCCACAGATTTTGACGTGTAGTTTCTCAAGGGAGTTGTCTTTCGGCGGTGGTTTACTGCCAGAGCATAGTTCACTGATGAAAACTGAAGCATCTGGGGCTCTCATAATGGCCTCGCCAACAAGGACAGCATTGATACCATCTCTCTTGCAGTCCAAAACGTCTTGGTGCTTGTTGATACCGCTCAGTGCGCAAATCATCGTAGTATCGGGCACCATGCTTCGCAGTCGACCTGTGGTGTTGATATCAACCTCAAATGTCTCGAGGTTTCGGTTGTTGACGCCAATGGCCTTGGCACCAAGCTTAACTGCTATTGTCATTTCGTCTGCGTTCTGCACCTCTACTAAAGGTTCCATTCCAAGAGACTGCGAGTACTTGTACAATCGTTCTAGTAGCTCAACTTCAAGCATTTTGACGATTAATAGCACTGTATCCGCTCCTGCTAGTCTTGCCTCCAGAATCTGATACTCCTCAAAGATGAACTCTTTTCGAAGGATGGCTGGTCTGTTTGGCATGCCGTTCAAAACTTGGCGGACGGCTCTTAGATCTTCGATACTGCCCTTGAACCATTCGGGCTCTGTCAAGACAGATATCACACTTGCACCAGCTAGGGCGTATTTGTGAGCCTGAACCGGAGCCTGAGTTTCTAATGCGAAGACGCCTTTGGACGGGGAGCCGCGCTTAATCTCCGCCATAAGAGATACATCAAAAGGCGACTGCTTCAATCGGCTGACGAATGGTACAAGGGGAGGAGCGGCATTTAGGTCGTACGCGGCTTGTAGGTCGCTCATCCTCTGAGATGGGATCTCCTTTTGCTTGGCTACGGCAACTCGTCGGCTTGCGTAGATGTTTTGAAGGATGTTGTTCTTTTGAGGCTTAGGCGCAGCAGGCTTGGCGTTGCCGGCTGATGTAGCTTTCTGAAGTCGTTCATTCTCTTCCCAGGTACCACCTTGCATGTGGAGGAAATTTTTAATCATCACACGGCCTTCAGCAGTGAGGATACTCTCCGGGTGAAACTGGACACCCTCGACAACAAAATCCTTGTGTCGAACGCCTTGGATGATTCCGGCTGAGCCATCTGGCTTGGCCACCCAAGCAGTGACTTCCAGGCGCTCGGGGAGAGTGAGATGAGTACCTGCAAGCGAGTGGTATCTAGTCACAGGAAGGCCCTGAGGCAAGCCAGCAAAGACACCCTTGGCATCGTGAGTCAAGGGAGAGGTCTTGCCATGTAGCCATTCACCAGCGGAAGAAACTTCTCCACCGTAGACGTCAAACATGCATTGCCTGTTATAATTGTAAGCTGCATGAAGTTTTGGATAAATGAAGCCAGAGAAAGAAGCCAGTGAATGAAACACCGGAGAGGGAAACTTACAAGCCCATACAGACTCCCAGGACAGGAATCTTGCCTGCAAAGTGGCGAATTGCATCTCGACTGACACCGGAATCCGTCTGAGGGTGACCAGGGCCAGGGCTGATAATGAGCTGGGTTGGGTTCTTCTTGATCAGCTCTTCCACTGTGATCTTGTCATTTCTGTAGACATGGACCGTAGCACCTTCCAGCACAAGGTACTGGTAGATGTTCCAGGTAAATGAGTCGTAGTTGTCAATGAGAATGAGGTTGGAGGCTGTAGCGACTGGCGGAGACGGATCCGGCTGGTGAGGCGAGTGATCGATGATAGTAGCAGAAGACATCTTGAAAGCAAAGATCGCAGCTGTCTACGAGAACAGAGAGATGGCCCGGAAACCGGATGACAGTCTGGTGAGCTGGATGAAAGAAAGTTTGCTCTCCCAGCGGCCAGAAGTCAGAATGTCTCGTCTTACTGTTGCCAATGAGTCAGCCAGACTAACAAGAAGAATAGGAAATAATTTCTGGCAGCGCCACTTATTCAACTGCTTAGTAGCTATATCCACCAACGCCTATTCGATTGCCGATAAGACGCCGATCTTTGTATGTGGCACTAGCCAACAAAATGCGGAAGCCAGATAATACAGTAGCGGAGTGCATATGCACAGTGCAATCTGCTCTAGGCACCGTGGGCATTATCGCGGCTGAACCTCGGGTTCCTGGGAGCTTCGCCAAAAAAGTTAACCATGCAGCTGTTGTTGATGCTGCCGCCGATGAGAATCCCGTAGTTCGTTGCTAAAAGCGCGTCAAGACGTGAATTACCAGCGCTCTCGCACGAACAGGTTCAAGGTGATGCGGCGAGCGCCTCTGCCGCCTTATTGACATTCGTGGCAATGGCGCCGGTGTCTGACAGCAATTATTTTCCCTCCGTGGGACAGTGCCTCTCTGGCGAGAAAGAGCTTGTGTGAGTACAGCGCTGCTTGTGTGCTGGGCGGGATGGATGCAACTAACTGCAGCATCAAGGTCTTGGAAGCTTGTCGCCACCGCACTTTCAGATGGTACCGGGCAGAGACAGAAGAGCTCTGCCATCACCAAGTTCTTCGATGACGACTATGTCCGTGGACTTTTGCGCGAGCCGTCGACCGCGTTTGCGCCGCCTGACGAGGCTACAAACAAGGACTTTGAGACCAAGACAGCACCAATCAACGTGACCTCAGCATCGACCGATCGACACGATATCAACGTATTTAAGGAGGATGCGAAGTGGTTAAGCAGGAATGCCAAAGTTAATTTGGTGGCTGCCTTGCGAGTTGTCATCATCGAGTACCAGTCCCGTTCTTCAAGGCACCTTTTGGGCCCACTATCATCCCACGATGCTGCCAATCTTCAAGAAGCTGCAGGCTTGCAAAATGGCCAGGGAGCAGCATTTTTATCAGAAATGGGTGCTTCTGCAGCGTTGGATGCCGACGAGATTTCAGCAGAATTCGAAAACTCCGAGTCGAAAAAGCGTCGCTTGTTTGATACCCTATTGACCGAACGTCGATTCTTCATAATGGCTGCGGATTATGCCACCTCCATCAAACTATATAAACGCCTTCCTATTTTCGCCCCTGGAGACGACAGTATCGCCGATCTCTTCAAGTTGAAGAAGCCGTCTGCTCAGCTACGCGATGAGATGGAAGATCTTCTGCCGGCCTATTTAGATATCGTAGCAAGCAGCATGAGCGGGATCGAGGCTGGCATGAGAGCATTTACGGATGAGGCCTTACTTCTTAACGATGAAGTGGAGCTAGATTGGCTTCGAAGTCTCCTGACCGAGATTGTTCATAGCCTGTCTGTGGTTCTTCAGGTGGTAGACTGTTATGGAACTGATTTCCCTCCATCCGGAGCCATCAACCAATGGTTTTCCCTGATGGAAATTTATGGCTTCTTCGATTCTATTCAGCCAGTATGTGCTTCACAGGACAGATTCTCTCATTTTCACTAGCTAACTGGCGCGCAGATTAACCAAATCACTGCTGAGCTCGTGATGCCCATGAAGGTCTTGGCTTCAGCCATCTCGATTAGCTTGCTTAAACCCGCAAGGGCACTCGCATATCTGTCTGATCGAGACGAAGATCCGGCACAAGCTGATGATGTATATGATTCTTATTTGCTCTCGCCGGATGTTCTCGAACAAATCCACAAAAGCATCTTGGATGCGGCTGGCCTCGACTCTGAAACTGCCTGCCCTATCATTTTCACGTGGTCTTTTATCCTTCACCGACTCAACGTATCTTACCAGACCAGATCTGATAGGAGAGACAATTTAATCCAGCAGAGTGCCCGAGAAAAGTTTGAAACTCGAAGCGTGATGCGCACGCCTACCGGACGACGAAATTCAGCTGGAAGCATATATTCCATTGAATCTTCAAAATTCGATGGATTTCTCGAGAACTCATCCACTCCTAGGGATATGCAGGTAGTTGAGCAGCTTGCAGCAGTCGCCACAGCTCAAGGCCGGGTCTTTGATGTAATGTCAAAGATGACCCAAACTTTAGGTCCGTCTGTAGACGGTAGCATGTCGCCGCTAATTAGCTCGCGCCTTCGCGTAATTTTTCTAGAGCTTTTGAAGGTATCGTATCCCTTTGTTGGCTATCAGTCGGATTCCGTGAGCTGTCTACTTTCCCTCCTTTCTCCTGGAAGCGGTTACTGGGACTTATCTGCGTCGGAAAACTTGCCCCCATCCCAAGACTTCCTCGGATCCGTGCTGCAGGATGACCTGGCCATGGATATCTTCTTCCAACAGGCGCTTGACCGATATCCTTACGAGTTCCTCCCTTTTATTACGCTATGCCGGACTCTTTGCACTGCGTCAGAGCAGGCTCAGGATGACAGAACTGAAATTATTCTGGATCTGCTCCGCCAGACACCAACAATTACATTTACATTACCGGATACGTTTCAAGAGTATGAACTAGTTCAGGAAGACGAGAATACAAACTCGTTTTGCCTTTTGGAGGAGCTTCCTTTGATCTCCTTGTCGTCTGCATGGAGCCGGAGATTCATCGAAGATGACGCTTATAGAATACCTGTAGGCACATATGGGCGATTTATTACAGATACCGGTCGTGTTGTCTTGATGGAGTATTCTCATTCAACTCTATCCCTCCTAGGACGGCGGTTAGAGATCAGCCTTACACAAGAAGGCTACCGGTGCGAGCTGGGAATGCTGCAACCAGACGAGACGGCCGAAGTTATCTCATTATTAGCATCGCTGCTTCGAATGGAGCAGTTGAAGGCTACGAGGCAAGGTGACAGTGGTGCGTTGGTTCATTTCGACAACGGCATATTGTCCGAGGCTAGCGTACACATTAGCAGTGGCAAAGATATTGTCACCGTCGTGTGCGAAACGATGGATTACTATATGCAAGATGAGCTGGCTATGACTGAGGACTCTGCCGTGAGCGTTCTTACTGCCTGCGTCAAGTTTTTGCATGCTGTTCTGCAGATCCAACCTAGCCGAGTCTGGTCTTATCTCGCCAAGACAGAACTGTTGAACTCCGAATCAAGAGCTGGCAAGCTCACCAAAATCACGGGTAGTCTTGACCTGGTTTCAGAGAGATTCGAATTCCTCACATCCTCACTGTCACTATTTTCTGGTCTTATCGATACTGTCATGTCTTCCGCCGTACAGCGACGGGCGGGAAGTAAGTCTACGAGCCGGCAACAGCCAGAATCTAATCCTTGGCTTGGAACTGCCGACAAGGTACTCTCCAGCGTGAGCTTTTCAATTGCTCAAACGTCTGTTGACGTGTTTGAGAACACCTCGACATGGATGTTTGAATCAGAAACCAACAGGATATCGCTGTTGCAGATTGTCGTTCCCATTCTCAACAAAATTGTCCTCGATACATACGGTATGGGAGATTCTCCCAAGTCCGATAATCTCACGTCTTGCCTCCGACCTGCCGCTTCTCACGTCATTGACTCCTTTTTATCGCCATCGACTGGAAGCTTGCGTTTCCAGCCTCTCCTCTTCTCTTTCATCTCTACCCTTACAGGAGCAGATACGACGCTATACCCTAACCGAACACAGGCTGTTCAAACTCAAGTCACCTCAATACTCGACTTTTCTACCACTCTACTTCGGGTAGCAAACTATCTGGAACGGCCTTCGACTTTGGTTGAGACTTACCTATTCAAGACTTCCACTTTATCAGCTCGGCTGTGCGCAGTGTCTGATCACTTCCGCGGGCCAGCTTTATCGCTACTGGAGGCTCTTGTCATCAATGCTGGCCAATCTACCAGCGAACCACCGTCCCTGCTTGGATATCTTGGCCCACAAATCTCAAAATCTTTCTTACAAATTCTTGCAACAATTGGCCAACCCTTTGTTTTGCCGGAAGTAGTGAAGATAACTTGGAGATTCTTCTCCTCCATACTAAAGAACCGTCAGCAGTGGATGTCGAACTGCCTTCTCACGGGACAAACACCCAGAGAAGCCATGAAACAAGATGCTAAGAACGAGACGTCTGCAGATTCTGTATTCGCAACAGCTTTGTCTAAGCTCAAAACTTTGAAAGACTTGGAAACAAGTGAGGCGCTTGTTGTTTTGGACTTTGTCGCATCTGCACAAAACTATTGGCCTTGGACGGTTTTCACGCTACAGAAGGATACCGCATACATAGATGGGCTGCGAGCCTATGTTCGCGACTTGAAACCTTCACATCAGACCGTTAAATCAAACGCAGTGCTGGCTAGTATTCAAGCAAGAATTGCTGCCTACATTGCCGAAACATTCGCGATGCAACTCTATCATTCGCGCCATCTAGGCAACGCCGAGACGCTTGCTAAAGCTTTAGTCAACGACTTGGACTACTATCTGCGCGATGGTGTTGAGGTGGCAAGCTACAACAAGTCTCTCCACAACAACTTTGCGAAGAACTTTTCCAATAAGTACTTTGGATGCGCCTTGGACAATTTCAAGCGTAATATGGTGGAACCAAGAGAACTGGGCGAGAACTATTACTATGACCTGGATCGTGCCGATGAAATCTTAGGATTTGATCCTGGATGGCGGGGAAAGAGGAAGGGAACTGGGTTCCTGAACGAGATGAAGATTGCGAACGCCAACCTGTCTCTAGTCGATGCTCAGATCGTAAGTATCCTCTCTAGGTTTTATACGTGGATGCTATAATTTTCAACTGCTTACTTTTTGTTCAGGCTCTTTTCCACGCATGGGAACTTCTGCTGCTTGAATTAAGCACATGCTTCCCGGAATCCGATGCTACTAAGAAGCAGATGATGCAGGTTGCACAGCAGTGCCTGAATGCTAACCAGGTGACGCCGGGTCCTGAAAATATCTTTCTCAAGATTGTTGACGCGAGAGCCAACCTGTCTCTCATCTTGGTTCAACGCTTGGTTAAATCCACTCTTGCTGTCAAGGACGTCAACCAACTGCTGGAGACTTTGATCGGCACCATCAATAGCGTTGATGAACCGTTCGAGCCTCAGTCTATTGCTTACTACCGAACGCTTCTGAAGACGTTGTTTGTTACTCTGCGGGCGTATCAGGCGGCATCCAGCAAAATAGCCACGAACACTCCCGATGATCTCGAAGGATCGATTGTAAATGTTACGCAAACTGTTCTCAACGTTTTGGACCATGTGGTTGCCAAAGGATTCAGAACATTGGTTAGCTTGATCCATGACAGGGAAGCTGATGTCTTCCCAGAGGATCTAGCTCTTCTCACGGCAATCATGCAAGCTTGTCTCAGTGTTCCCAATATTGAGCAATCCCAGACATCAATCTTGAACATAATGGCATCTCACGACGCTATGCATGCAGCGACGTCATTATACTCATGGGCTGATAAACTTGGCGATCAAGGCGATCCTGTTTATGGCGAACTCAGTATTTTGTTCCTGCTGGAGCTCTCAACTCTGCCGGCATTGGCGGAGCAGCTTGCGTGCGATGGCGTTCTCGGTGCTATTCTGTCCGCTAATCTCACCAAATTTATGCTCAGAACCAATGTCTCGCCGTACGCAGATGTACCAATTGCCCAACGGTGTTACGGAATTTGGGTGAAGGGAATGCTCCCACTCATGCTGAATTTACTCACCGCCCTTGGGGCTACTGTTGCTCCAGAAATTACCTATGTCTTGAACCAGTTTCCGCACTTGCTGCGGGCTAGCGTAGACCGATTCGAGGCACCGGGGGCCAGCCGGACAAAAGAGAAGTCTGCACAATATCTGACGCTGCTTGGTACCGCAGAGGTTCACTCTTTGGCATTGCTCACGCGTGTGCTTGCGGCTCTTCGGATGAATAACAGCAGAGATATTCCTGCAGTCGAATGGGACGCGACAGGCTTACTTGAGAATGTTGACTATTGGCTCTCCAGCAGACGGCTTTTGAAGGAGCGGCTCCTGCCTCTAGGACAGCGAGAGATGGAATGGAGAGGAAAGAAATTGTCAGGAGATTGTGACAATTTGCTTGAGGAGAAGGTGGTGGCACAGCTCGAGACGGTTCGGGATGTGCTTAGTGATGAATTTGAAGGCTGAAATGAATAAATATCGGATTTGTTTTGAGTTACTAGACGAGAGTGTTGGAGATGATAATGGACTTTAGGATTAGGCGTTGGATGTTGGACTGGGCTACTACTGCATCAGATGTAACATGCAAATCCCCCCTGTGGATACGAAGTATACAACTATAAACTCGAGCATCGAAAATTAATTCCCATTGAGCGAGATTTTTATACCATTTTGGCTGATCTTTTTTCCAACATTGAGACGTGACCAATAACACCAGCCCTCTTTTTCAACTACCTTGCTCCAACATATCCCGTAATATTGATACAAACGACTCTATCTCCTCGAGTCAAGATGGTTTCCCGGCATAGCTCTTTATATCGTACAATGCCTCGGGGTGTGACAGTTCCAGCACACGGGCTTTTCCACACAGGCTTTAGACGGGGCCGGAGGAATATCCAAAACATCTTCCCTTTACCCCGCCATTGATATCAAAGTTTTCTGTCGCGGAACAAGTTCGTATGCTGCTTTGTTTTGTTTGGCAATTATTTATAATTTCTTCTTTCATAAATTTCTATTTCTGCATCTGCTGCGTAATCTGGGCGTTGTGCTCCTGGAAGCGCTCGCTCACGCGCTGCTGCGTGGCCATCCACTTGAGAACGCAGCGGTTGAGGCATCCGGTTTCCTTGGAGGAGAGTGATTTGGAGGTGAAGTCGTCGACGCAGGAGGTGAAGCAGTGCTCGACAAGACCGCCGAAAGCCTACAAGGTTGGGCGGTATTGTTAATTGAGATTCATTATTTTTTTTTTCCTTTTTCGGGAGAGCATATATCGTGATGTGTTGTGTTGGGAGAGGGAGAGTGACGCACGCCGACAAACTCTTTGACTTGACGCTTCTGCATGCGCTGCTCGAGAGTGCGCTGTTCGGCGGCTGTTAACCTGAGATTGGGGGAACAGTAAATGTTAGTTTGTAATCTTCTTGATTGTACAAGATCGTTGCGTACATATCCATTGTGGCGGTGTTAGAGGGGGGTTGAAAGACGATTAAACAGCGATCACGGGTGTTTGGCTTGGGAGGACGAGAGACTGATGACGATGAAATTTCAAAGTAGGTGCTAGAGACGTTGCACCCCACATTGAAGTGTGGAAGCTCTTTTCCGCACGGATGACGGATGTAGCTTAGAGCGATCGATAGGTCATACAGTGTCAATATATGGCATGTCCCGTTTGCACTGTATCTCAACTACACGCAGCTTCAGGTATGTATAACTTGCAGGTGTACCATTGGCATACTTTCAGGCTCTAACCATTGGCTATTCTCTCTTGCGCTACGCTACTGAGCTTCAAGTAACTCCGAATTGCTTGCTTCATCGTCATGTTCTGCAAGACGGACGCACCCCATAAGCTCGCTGGATGGCGCCATGTCTCGCCCGATGTATAGAGTTGGTGATTGGAGAGTAGGAGTATCGGCGCATCGCTTTGTGTCATCTCACTGCTACACTCCTTCAATCGAAAAGATGCAAGCCCCTCACTTCATATGTTAGAATGTTTAACTATTTCCTCATTTTTTTTTCTGATCATTTGTTTACCGTCGCTCGAGCAAGCATCACATTTGAATCAAGTTTCACGCTACCTTGCCTATGTCACCATGTCAGGACCTCCGGTGCTGTCCTCGATCAATGTTGGCCATTAATGGCCCAAACAACGGAGTGATGTCAAAATAGCAATCGAATGTGCACTACAGATCAATACGGCACTATCCAGATGGATTTCAACTCTCAAAAGCCATTGGCCTCGGCACAAACAACTTCAACTACGGTACTCGTGGGTTGCCGAGTTTCCCAGAGATAGACCGAGGCACACAGTTGTTTGAAGAACGATAAGCCATCACTTGCAGCATGTACAAAAATCCCTAGAACATACGCACGCCTGACGATATATGTTATCTCACTTCTCAAATACTCAGTGCTTTAGATTCCTACTCTAAACATGGCTCCATATAAACAGGCATGTGCCGATATTGCAAGAACTACACCTCATCTAAACAAGTCGGCAAGAATTATCTTAGCACAATAATTGCTGGAAGATGGTTTCTTGTTTTAGACAATGCTGATGACTATGACCTTATATACAGCAGGTTGCCAGTGTCTTTCCGAACAATAACCACGAGAGTCTTGAGAAGTCAACATACATTAGCTGATGTCATTCCACATCCTTGCGTAGTCAAATTTTGAAGATCATCTATCAGTGGCGTGGCTCACAAGTTTATGTAACCATTGAGAGTGTTAAAAAGAAGGGTGTATGATCTTGTCCAACAGATACCTGACTTGGCTCAAGGAAATGATCCATCTCTTGGACTCCCTCTCACCCAATCTCCACCTACCGCGATTCTGCTATAATTCCCTAAAGCCTACATAATCCCGTCACTACTAATGGTAATTAGCATATCAATTGATGTCTCATCTCCCAAGAAGATCTATGATGACAGGCTTGTACTCCCCCAATGGGAAAACTGTTTCATGATTACATTAGCGACTGGGGGATTGCCCTATCTATTTAAGCCTTTTCCCTTTCATTCTTTTTACGGGAACTGCGGAAAGCTAATCTTTGGCATCAAGTTTCCAGTTTAGGCTTTGGAGGCGGCTGTTTGAATTGACTGGTTGTGAGAGCCACTGTTATGAGAATATATCCAACACCAAGCGGTGATGGCATTTCTGTGCAGATTGAAGACGAATAAATTCAGGCTTGGTAAGCTACGTCTAATCCTTCAACAAGATGCGCTTTATAAACTTGCTGTTTTAATTTCTCTTTTAAGCCATTAATGTTAGGCTTCTTCCATCTGACTGTGTGTATCAAGTTTCTCAGAGTATACGAAAGCCATGATGTATATAGATACATGTAGTTAACACAACAATTACGTTTATGTGGAAATTATGACTGTCTTCGTATACTGAATTATTAAACCTACCATGCTTGTGCAGTTTACTTCCTTCTTCACTTAGAATTAATAATCAGGGCACAACAATTGCCCGCAATACGGTTTCTCGAGTTCCAACGGAGCACAAGACTGGGCCCGGGCAGCAAAGACAAACTCCACAGCCAAGAGTCAAAGCTACATGATTGAAAGAGTTTCCTAATGGAGCAAGAAGCTGAAGCCATCGTCGTTCTCTATCTGGCTCGTATCTACAAATACCTACCCCGGGTCTTACACAGCTTAGCTATGCCCCAGCTTGCACTAGTGCAAGATTATATATGGCATGGGGTTTGGTTTGGTTCGGAATTCCGCAAAGACGTCAGAATCCGTATTGCATTGCTAGTTCCTGGATTGCTCGGCTGCATCGTCCACCGTGAGCCTCAAGTACTGGAACCAGTGTGGCTATGCTCGGACGTTTGGCTTAACACAATCCCCTGGTCACGGCGCAACACAACAGCTTACTCGCTTTCCATGATATCACCGTTAACCCGGGCCAGGATTGCCTTCAGGCGAGGCTTTGAATGCATGGCGATGGGGTGAAAATGACGACTTACTCGTAACCTTGTCCTTGGCCGGATACGTACGAGAAGGCCGACAAATACGACAGCAGCCAGCCTGGTCGCCCAAGCCACAACGGCATCGTGAACGATTTGGCCAGAGCCTCGCCTTGTGGTGTCTTCGCTGTGGTCTTTCGGCGATTGTCGTTGCTGCTGGTGAGTGAGCAGGCTGTCGCGCGCCAAGCTACCGAGTAAACAAATACGAAGAGCCTGTGCCGTGACGTCTGATTGGCATTCCTGGGCGAGCTAGTGGTTGACGGTGCCAGGCAGGCCTAAAAATTGCCCGCGTATATGCATGTAAACTTAATTGAACGGAGGCGAGAGAGCTGGGTAATACGTAGTAATATTACATACAAGCAGCAGGATTGGGGCGATATATTGGCCCTACCGCTAGCACGGGCACGACCCCATATGGCTATGCTAAAAAAAGAGCAAGCCGATGGGGTCTTAATCAATATTGGCCTGCTGAGAGGATGCAGCTCCGACGCTGGTTGGAATAGGTGGTATAATACGAAGTCCCGAGCACTATCGTATATGTCATCCTCCCTGGCTCGATGCTAGCACCAGCGTGCTGCAGGCTTGTCATACTGGGCCGCTAGCAGCTCAGCTGTTGTGTAGCGCCCCCTTTTTGGGCCTGTATGAATGCTGTATGATTCATCATGCATTTTCGGGTAGATGGTAGGCCTACTGCTACAGTCTGTACATGCCGCCACACAGAGACAGAGCCGCGCGAGACATTCGAGCTCAGCTCAGCCGCCGTCCATCCACCAGGTCGCGGCCCCTCCTCGCGAGACGTCCGTCGCGGCGCCTTGCAGGGATCATGGCCTTGTTTGCGCTGCGCTGCCTTTCGAAGATCCAGGCGCCGATCATCCAGAAACCAACGCCTTGTCCCAACGTCATTCGCTGTCTGGCTTCCCTGCCGATTTCTCTGCTCCCCCTCGTTTTGCGAGGGTGCACTGCCTCCTTGCTTGTGCATGGAGGAGCTGCATTTAGCAGCACCTTGGGCCTATGCTGTGGAGGAGGGGCTGGTTTGTATGGATGGAGGTATGCATGGAAGTAGAAGTGGAAGAATGGAGCGAGTCCAGATAGTTCAGGCACTCAACCCAACTGAGACCTAGCAGGCAGTACCCTGGCTGGAAACAAAAGTACTGTGCCCAAGGTACCTGGCATGGCTTGCAGCAGAATGTACCTTGGTATCACTTGCTTGTACTGTCGCATGCCTTGGTAGTAGCAGTGCTGCTGTACAGTAGTATCATCATTGTTTCCCCTTGTCCAGTCGCTGCAACTGCCATCCTCTGGAGCCCCCTGTGTTTTACAGCCATGCTCCCGCAAGCAAGGCTTCGTCACGCATTGGCTGTGCCGCGCATATGCATCGTGTACCATGTATCAGAACAGCTTCGCTCCTGACGGTTCGTCAGCTACGTCCGTGGCACTTCTAATAATAAGCCCGCGCCACAAAAGAAGCGTGCCTGCAGCCCACGTACACGCTTGTACGCACAGGTACCGGCCCGGCACATGGGCTGCGTGAGGCCTGGTGCGCTGCCTTGTCTCGGGGCCGCTAGAGGGCCAGAGGGCCTAGCACTGCGACCTGCCATCCCGTTGGTTCATCGCAGCAGTACGACGCTGCTACCGAGAGGTACTTGGCCCGCGGCGCCCTCAGAGTACCCGCCGTACCGCTGTGCCACCCGCCACCAAAAACCTCACAGCGACAAAGCTGCAACACCACAGCCGGCCTTTCAACCAAACGCCGTGCCACCTCCCTCAACCTCCCTCCGCGCCCATCCATCACCACCGCCGCCAGAGTCGCTTCCCTCATGTCTCTGGGCCTTTGTCGGGGCATCTGGCCGCTGCTTCACCCTTGGATCGCCTGCTCTGCCGCCCGCCCGCCCGCTGCCCGGCGCTGCGTCTCGCCCAGCTGAGCGACGAGACCAAGAGTCACTCCTCCTCATTGTGCGCAATCATCGACGCTCGTTGACAGATCTCCCCGACTTTGGCGCCATCTGCGAATTTCGAGCTTGCTCCGTTGCATTCGCTCACGCCCCTCGCCCTCGCCCTCGCCCTCGCCCTCGCCCTCGCCCTGCTCTCGCTTCACCACCCTCTCTTCTCTTGCCTCCCTTTCGGGGGCCGAATCCATCGCTCGTTGCGCCCTCCGTCCATCTGGGCAATTCGCCGTCTCGCTGACTCTGCCCGCCCATTGATTCTGGCTGCGCTGCGTGTCTCTCGCCATCTGCCGTCCACGCGCTGGCGCCCGCCATGACGTCCAGCAATCCGAATCCGCACCAGGGCAGCCCGCCATCGCTGCCTGCGATGCCCAACACCCCTGCGTCGCCGCCGAACAAACGCGACCTCAAGTCCTGGTGGAAGAACTTCAAGCTGCCTACCAAACATCAGGAAACGTCTCAGCAGGGTACGCTCTCAACCTCCACAACACCCCCCTCCGTCGGCCCTCATACTTTTATCCGCAGACGGCTTGCTTCGTTCAGGAAGCTCTGGTCGCTATTCAGATCATCTGGTATCGATTTTCAATTTGCTAGGTTGCGTTTCGTTGCGTGCCACATATGCCTATTGAAGCCAGGGACTTCTTGTCGCAGTTTGTTTGGTCATTGAATAGTCATAGTTGAAAGGCGTATCAAGCGATGCAAATCCTTTCCCTCTTGAATACTCTTTCCCTTGCCTTTTTAACTAATCGTCTCCGCTGTCCCCTGGATACATTGTACATGTCCATGAACAGAAAGAGGGAGAGGGAAAAACACAAAGCTTTCCTAATGCGTCATCTCACTTGTTTTAACACACTGAACTAATCTAATGAATCTATAGAACCTCGTGGCGGCGGAGGCATATTTGGTGTTCCTCTCCGACAGAGCATAACATACGCAAACGTTGCCATCTCTCTTGTTGATGAGAATGGCAAGAGCTACATTTATGGCTATGTCCCCATTGTCGTCGCTAAATGCGGTGTCTTCCTGAAGGAAAAGGGTGCGTCTGGCCAACAACGGAGCTGCTCTATTCATGGATCCTGATCAACTGCTAACGCCCGCCCCAGCTACTGGTATTGAAGGCATCTTCCGATTAAGCGGTTCCGAGAAACGCATCAAAGAGCTCAAGACGATTTTCGATTCACCTGATCGATATGGCAAGGGACTCGTTTGGGAAGGATATACCGTTCACGATGCTGCCAACGTGCTCCGAAGATATCTCAACGATTTACCCGAACCCGTAGTACCTCTAGACCTATACGAAAAGTTCCGCGACCCCCTTCGTGGAGCTACAAAGCAAGCAGTTGGAGATACCGAGGGTCCGCAATTCGTTGAGAATTTTGACGAGAGGGCAGCCATTGTGAAATACCAGAAGCTGATTACAGAATTGCCTCCGCTTAACAAGCAGCTGCTTCTCTACATTCTAGATCTGCTGGCCGTCTTTGCCGCCAAGTCTGATGAAAACCGCATGAATTCTCAAAATTTGGCTGCCATTTTCCAACCCGGCATGCTATCCCACCCCTCACATGCAATGGCACCCGAGGAGTATCGACTAAATCAATGCGTCATCATTTTTCTCATCGAGAATCAAGACCACTTCCTCATTGGGATGCAAGGTACCGAGGCCGACGAGACAACGATGCAGCAAGTGGCCTCCGGGACTCCCAACCCCCCGCGTACGCCGAACCAAGATCGAAGTTCGGGGCTAGGGAGAACGGCTTCTAACGCCAGTGCTGGTGCCGAGAGCATCCGCAAAGATGGCTTAATTCGACGAAACAGATCCGTATCTTCCAGGCACTCCAGGGTTGATGGTGCTGTCACTCCGAACAGCCCAGCCTTGGCTGCAACGCCCACTGGTGGTGGCTTGGCTAGGAGCAACACCGTACCATCAAAGAAGTCACCGGCTCTGGTAGGAGGCAAATTCAAGAAGAATGAGAACCCTGGTCGCGCACCACACTCACCCGCCTTGGAGCCGCTGACGCCAGCTCGCCTACCTCAACAGGACATCATTGATACCCCTTACAGAGCTTCTACACCGACCCCATCGCATACGACTTTTGACTCAATGCATCTCGCTCCCGATCGTGTACTATCAGCTGGTCGAAGCCAAGAGAGACTGTTAGACGTCCCACATGACCACTCGGCGGCTTCAAAGCACCAAAAATTAGAGCACCTCTTTCAGCGATCTCCAAACCATGAGAGCGGCGGCGGTGACAAAAGGCAGCCAAACAAGCTAAAGAAGAAGCGGATACCAGGTAGCATGAGCATCAGCGCCCAGAGCTCGTGCTCCTCGCTTCCGCACTCCGCCTCGCCAGGCACGGAAGCAGGAAACCCTTTGGAAGCGACACCTGCTTTTGCACAGCCCATAACACAGCCCCAATTTCGTCCAAGTACCATTCCTCATTCAGTACCACAGCCAGCGCCTTCTGCTTCGACACCGGCGATAGACTCTCCAAAGCAGCCGGATTTGCATCACCAGCTCTCTACCCCTGCTATTCACCAGAACGACACTGACTCGCATAATCACTCGCATAATCATTCGATTTCACATTATCATGAGCACAACCTTCGACCCGAGGATGTTTCTGCGCCACGGGGCAAGAAATCCCCTCCTGCTTCAGTTAATTCATCGTTCAATGACGGATCAGATTTAGACCCGGTGGCTCAAGAGCCCCCCTTGCCGGCAATTGTCGAGACAGCCGATAAGGAAAAAAAGAGCAGGTGGAGACTGTCGAGGACGAAGAAGGATGACTTTCCAAGCGGGCCGACTAGCCCCAAGGCGTCGCCGCCGGTATTTAACATTGGCTCAAACCATAACGCAGATGTTAGCACCACATCGATTGGAAGTGCCATTGCCAAGCCCCGGAAGAGCTTCACTGGCGAGAGCTCCGAGCAATTAGGAAGCGGCAGCGATCGCGGTTACACGTATGATAGCTCCAAGGATGAAAAAGATGACCCGAAAGGACCTATTGGATGGATAAAGCATAAATATCGAGAGGCAAAAGAAGTTGCTGATAACAAGCGGAACAAATCCCCGCCTCCTTCAGATGGCCATCAACCATTCAACCAGAGTATGTTGGCGCCACGGGGTAAGAGTTTAGATATAAAACGAGATCTAAATCGAGAAGAGGAGAAGCTCTTTCCGAATGCGGCTCAACAACTTGCGTTTAGAGATGTTCCGAAAGAAAGAGCAAATATCCCACCAGCAGCACCAGAAGTGTACAGGAAGCTTGGCCAAACCGAACCAGCTCAGAGAGATTCTGTTCAAGGCATGACCATCCACAGGGTCATTAGCGAATCGGACTCTGAGCCGCAGAACGCCGTTCCGGTAGCTAATGCTGTCAAGGAAGCTGCTGCTCCCGAGTCTGCTGCCCTGCCCAAGACGCAAGCTGCAACAGTACCTGAGCCTCAAGCACCACCACCTTTGGAGCAACCATTGCCATCCGTTGTAAAGAATAAGGAACAAGAGGAAAAGCAAGCATAGTGACTTTTTAGTTGTAAATGAGCTTTTTCCAAGCGATGAAGATGAATCTAGGATTACGAGGAGTTGATGGGATGGGCCTTTTTTTTTTTCTCTATTAATTTTTCTTCTCACTACCCCCCCTTTTTCTGTCTTTTTTTTTTTTTTTTTTTTTACCTTGTTTCTTTTTCTAGAATTAACGAATTTCCTTTGTCTATCATGTATTCAAAGGCCCTTTTCTTTTCTCTTTTTCTTTCTCCTTGAAGGAAAGAGAATTGGAATAGGGAGCTTTTTTTAACGTCAAAACACTGCTGTATGTATGTTGAAGCGGAAGGCGGGAGAAGAAGCATGTGTAGGAAATGGGAAATATAAGGTAAAAAATTATTTATTTATGAAAGACATATATGTCGGTGCTACGGCTGTTGACGTAATTTGAAAAAAAAAAAAAAAAAAAAGGGTGATAGACTATATGCAAAGCCTTACTTTCACACACACTCTCCTATGGATATTTTCCCCTCTATGTCTCTTAGGATCATGAGTTTGGCTGTGGATGAGAAGACGTTGTCAAGATTTGATATAAATTAGGTTATTCGGATTAATTGTAAATGTGTGCTTTGCATATCTAATGAATGAACTGTATGCTATTTCCTTTTTTTTGCGATATAAACATTGCCGCTCTTTTTTTTCCAATAGGAGAACAAGGAAGCCAATATCAACGAAACAATTGCAAAAAGAGATAGGACAAATTAGGCCATTGTGACGGATCCCTCGTACGCCCCCGTATCCCAAACAATCATATACCCCGCTCTCCTCCAATCTTCATTAAAAAATCCATTGAAGCCCGCCCATACGCGGGTTAACTGTGTTATACCTAGTTGTTTGCCCTCAGGAGTATTCAAAAACTCGCCTAGCCAAGGCTCTATGCCTTCAAATCCGACAATGTACCGGGGGACAGGCACGACGGGGTTTTCATGGGCAAAGAGTTCCTCGCGTAAGAATGGGATAGGATTGTCGTAGAAGCGATCTGCTTCGTCGCGGTAAAATTCGCGTTCCGGAGTGTTTGGCTGGGTATGGAGTGGGGGCTCGCAGGTGAGCGCATAGGCGGATAGCCCTGGATAGACGAGATGTGAGCGCCAAGGGGTGGAGTGGCACGGCATCAGGAAAAGAGCGAAGAGATCTTCTTTCTTAGTGTCGTCAGCAGATGTCGTGGCATTGGCGTAGCGGGTTAGATGAGCGTGATGAACAGCAGAGGGATGAATACGTTCATATTCTTGTCGGAGGAATGAGAGGACGCCAAGGGGTGCTGGTTGGTGCAGGAAAGAGAGATAGCCGGCAAGGATAATGTTGATCCCCAAGGCGGTAAAGAGAAGAGGCTTGTTGCGGAGGCGAGCACGGCGAGCAGCTGGTGACTTTGTTCCGGAGGGCTGAGATGCAGATATTTGAGCCGCGGAGGAAATAGAGGGAGGAGGACTTGTTCGTGTGACTGAAGTGAAGAAGGACGCGGCCCGTGGGGCGGCAAGGACGCTAAGGATTGGAAGGAGAGGATAAATGAAGCGAACTTCTTTGTGAGAGATGAGTGAAAGAGCAATAATGGTGCTTGAAACGGCGTAGGAGAGCGTCCGAAGTACGTTGGCCTGATCAGCTGTCTTAGATACAGGTTTGAATAGTGCTGGCAAGACAAAAGGGATGCTTGTGGTGCAAAGCAGAGGTATGCCTTGAAGGATGTAGTAGTGCCAAGGGTTGCGACCGTAAAAGACAGCAAGTGATTTGGAGATGTTGAAGGTGAGCCAGTTGTAAGGCGGGAAGGCCCAGAATCCAAAATAGAATCGGTCAGCGAGAATGGACAAGCCCACCACCAGAGACCCGCATAGAATTGCTTCTCTGAATAGAACCAAGATGGTAGAGAAGGTCAAGGGCGAGTTCCCTTGAAGGGTTACTCTCGTCAGAGCCACAAAGACGATGGTTAGCCAAATAAGAACATTGGTGGGCCGTAAAACGACGGCCAAGGCAGCAAGACATAGCGAAGCTCGGAGGCGCCAGAGTTTGCCGCGCAGGACGTTGAAAGGCTTGGAATTCTCCTTGATGGAATAGGGGGCAACACCAACGAGCTGCCAAGGCCAGTAGCAGAGGGCCATGACTGTAAGGGTTGTCTCGAGAGAGTTGGAAAACGTCCTTGTAGAGCAATACCATTGCCAGGGATTCAGAAGTTGCATGAAGAGCTGAAGAAGTTCATTCATCGTGTAAGTGGCGTACTCAGACTGAAGAAACGGTTGAGCTTGAGGTGAGACTTACAGCAAAGAAGGAAGCGTTACTATCAGAGCCATACACATTCGAAGCAAGATGCCAGGTGTACCAGTCCCCTAGAGCAGCGATGATGGCTTGCAAGATCCTAGGAGAAACAATGACTGCGGCAGAGCGGATGGCATTTCCTGGAGGAAAGATGGCGGATAGACGATCTGCAGCCATGTATGCACCCGAGAAGAGAAGAGGATGGAGAGACGACCTCAGCTGGTTGTGCCATTCCTGTGAACACGTTAGTGACGGCGTAATGAGATGAAGTGGTGTTAGAAATGCAGGAGTTGTGGATGTTTCTCCCCTCTCTCTTTCGAGAAGACTATATCAGTTGACCAATTGATATATACAAACATATATACATTTATACTCAGACAGGATATACATGTGCGTGTGCGTGTGTGTGTATACATATAAATGTGCGTATAAAGTCTTACCCATGTGAGCCACGCGCCGCTTCCGGGCCCAAAGGCCAGGCGCCAAGCCGGCTCCAGCGCCTGGAAAAACTCATCGGGCTGGAAAAAGGTGGCCAGATACAGGGCATTGAGCAGCCGCAAAATGATGATGTCTCGCAGTGGGACGGGCGAGAGACGCGGCTTGCTCTTGAACGAGGCCGAAGGAGCGCGTTGGTGGCCGGCCATGGTTGTGCGGATGGTTTGTTAGTGGGCGGGCATTGGCGAACGTTGAAAGAGCGTGTCCGGTTGAGTTGGCGCGCTGCAGCCGTTGTAGGGGAGCCCCTTTAGCGTCCAGCGGCTGCTAATCAGGCTCCCGCCACGCTATGCTGGGTTGGACTGGATTGGCTGGGCCAGTTGCTTGCTCCGCTGCATTGCAGGCTTGATAGACAGCCAGTAACGTGGCCAAATTCATGCATTGCGCAGCCGGACGTGGCAGCACGACAGCTCTCGTGATTTCTTCTTTCGCTTGTTGTTTTGAGTATATTTTCAAAACAAATACTTGTCGAAGCATCTTGTCGAAGTGTCCAATATGATCCCCCTAGTGCCTACCGATGTTCAGACGATGAGCACTGACCTTGAGCTTGTTTTGACCCCCCTGCAAGTACAGCTGCGCCTGCCGTACAACTTGGCACTTGGCAATTGGCATTTCGCACAAGCAGCCAATAGAAGCCGCTAGATAGCAGCCATTGAGTGAATGATGATGCGAGGAAGGAGCTGTACAAGTGATGATTCCCACAAGAGGCACACCTAAGAAGGCGGTAGACGTGGAAGGTGCCCAGTACTGTAGCTCTTTACATGGTTATTACACCGCCGAACACCAATTAAAATGTGCTGTCTTGAATTCAATGTGATCTAATCTCATCTGATCAGTACGTAGTAAGTACATCCACGCCTATCTGCAGATGAAACCACCCCCGTCTCTTGCTGTACAGATACAGCAATGCTCATCCCACCTTGACTCTTTACCACTCGCTTGCAGTAGTAGTATGTGTACATCCGCTCTTCTGCGACAGCATTGGTATCAGCATTGGCATCAGCATCCGCGTCAGCATCAGTCGACAAAAGCATCCTCCCATGCAGCCATATCTCACATTACATCATTCCCTCGTCCGTCCGCTCGTCATAGGCTGCAGATACCATTCCCAGATCTCACAAGACCACAAACAGCCAAGCCTGCGTACGTAATATGGCTGGTCTCATTGGCTCATCTCCAAATCGGCGACAGGGCTCCCCACCCTTTTTTTCCTTCCCTGGTGGCCGGACCGGATGCTGCAGCAGCCCAAAATCATGAGAGAGCCGCCGAATGTGGGGATCGATGCTAAAAAATGGCGAACAAGGCAGCACGAATTATCATCGCCGCTTAAGCAGTAGGTAGATGCGTGGAATCTAGCGTATAGACTAGATACTCGAGGAAACAATGGCATGATTGCCTATTGCTTTGCCCAGCGTGGAATTCGTCCGCCTAGATCCCGGATTGCAATCGTCACGCTCCCACGCGCAGTCTAGCCCTTTTCGAGACCCTCTGTTAGGGGTCCAGACCAAAATGCCGAGGCCAGCCGGCCGCTTCTCTGGGGCTCCTACGGCATCGGCGGTCTCTGGACTATCGGACCTGCGGCGAATCGTGCCCTCGCTGATGGAAATCGCCGGCACCTCCACGGCGTTGGCTCTCCAGGCGTGCAGGGAGCTACAGGGAGCAAGCCCAACGTCTGGAGCCTCTGCTCCACCGGCGTGCTGCTACACGCTCACACTTGCACTTAGGGGTATAGCGGCGGCGTATCTTCGTCTCCAATGCCTGGATCCAGCTCGAGTAGGTGACACATTGATTCCACGCGGCGTCGACGGTTCTATCGATTGCCCGCTTTCCCACGGGCCTATAACTGTCGTCGTCTCCCCCAGTGGTCAGGTGGTTTGGAAATTGACTCTCTCTCATCAGCATCCGCATTTATGAATTTGTACGTGAAAACCAAAAAAAAAAAGAAAAAAAAAAAGCAAACAAGCCAGAGCACTTGTCCTAACAGCTTCTATTTCTTATCATAGTATCTGCCTCGCTGCCCAGCCATCTGCTCAGATCACTATTTAGCTGGTACGTCAATCGGCACGTCAATCGGCGCTTATCCTTGCTATCAGTGCCCCTCCCCCTCCGTGTTCCGGCTTATCGCAAACAACTTTCCACTCCTCGCAAATCCGACTTCCAGCTAACACAGCAACAAAGTTAGATCTTTTTTTTCCAACACCAACCACCAATTCTATCCAGCCATGGCTCCCCACGCTAGCGATGCCGCTGCCAGCAACGGCGCTGCTGCATCCCGCTTCCACGCTTCTTCCACCGATGCAGCCATCGCCGCCGAGAACGAGTTTGCGGCTCACAACTACCACCCTCTCCCCGTTGTCTTCTCCAAGGCCCAGGGCGTCAATGTCTGGGACCCGGAAGGCCGCCAGTACCTGGACTTCCTGTCTGCGTACAGCGCCGTCAACCAGGGCCACTGCCACCCCGAGCTTGTCAAGGCTCTCGTCGACCAGGCCTCCCGCCTGACTCTGAGCTCAAGAGCCTTCTACAATGATGTTTTCCCCAAGTGGGCCGAAAAGGTCCGCAGCGTCTTCGGCTACGACATGGTGCTGCCCATGAACACCGGTGCCGAGGCCACTGAGACCGCCATCAAGATTGCCCGTAAGTGGGCTTACAAGGTGAAGGGCGTTGAAGAGGGCAAGGCGTTGGTCTTCTGCGCTGCCGAGAACTTCCACGGCCGAACTGTGAGTAATCTTCTATCAGCTTTCCTGTACAATCCGAAGTTTGACTATGGGTCAAAAGAAGAAGAAAGGATCAAAGCTCTCTTTGAGCCTCCAACAAATTAAACAACACAAAGTATACTAACTCTTGCCGCAGATGGCCGCCATCACTCTGTCCACCGACCCCGAGTCCAAGGACAACTATGGCCCTTATGTCCCCAACATTGGTGCCACCTCTCCTTCCACTGGCAAGCCCATCCGCTACAACAACGTGGCTGATCTAGAGGAGGTTTTGGAGGCCCATGGCAAGGATACCGCCGCCTTCATTGTTGAGCCCATCCAGGGCGAGGCTGGCGTTGTTGTTCCCGACGACGACTACCTCACCAAGGTCCACGCCATTTGCAAGAAGCACAACGTCCTCCTCATCTGTGACGAGATCCAGACTGGTATTGGCCGAACTGGCCGTATGCTCTGCTCCGAGTGGGCAGGCATTAAGCCTGATATGGTCACTCTTGGAAAGGCCATCTCCGGAGGCATGTACCCCGTCAGCGCTGTTCTGAGCAGCAAGGAGGTCATGCTCGTCGTTGAGCCCGGTACCCATGGTTCTACCTACGGTGGTAACCCCTTGGGCTGTGCAGTGTCAATCCGAGCTCTGGAGATCCTTGAGGAGGAGGACATGACTGCCAAGGCCGAGCGTCTGGGCCACATCTTCCGCGATGGCGTGGCCGCACTCAAGTCGCCCATTATCAAGACCGTCCGCGGCAAGGGTCTGTTGAATGCTGTTGTCATTGACGAGGCGGCTGCTTCGGGCCGCACTGCATGGGACCTCTGCCTTCTGCTGAAGAGCAAGGGCCTCTTGGTAAGTTAACCTTTTGCATCTCATGGCTGCCTTGTCTCTTTTTCTCTTCTCTACCCCTCTTTACCCGCTACATTTCCTGTGCTAATCACCCTTTTAGGCCAAGCCAACCCATGGAGATATTATCCGTTTTGCGCCTCCCCTCGTCATCACCGAAGAGGAGCTTCGCAAGGGTCTCAACATCATTGCTGAGGCTCTGAAGGAGCTGCCCACCGTCGCTAAATCCGAGGGTCACTAAATGATAAGTGACGACTTTTCCTCTTGCAGTCTAAAGGGGAAAAGTTCAGAGCGTACCGTCCTACGGGAAGTAGACGCCGCTGCCTCGTGAGCGCGAGCTCCGGGAATTATGAGGGCGACCCACGCGAAAAGAGAGACGAGGAATTTCCTTTTTGATTTACACGTCAAACATATAAGATACCCAAGGGATAGCCAGGACCGGTCATGAAGCAGCATAGGAACGGGAGCATATTATGGATTACTGTTTTGGGCTTGTTTTGTTATTCTTTTTTTTCTTGTTGCTGTTGTTTTTCATTCTGCGCCGGAAGCCATATTCCCTGTTTTCTAACCAGGTCGGGCGGATCGTCGTCCGCGGCGCAGATAGCATCTGAAGTGGAGTGTGTATGCCTTGCTTAGAAGGCACAAAACGATCAATTAACATTCAATTGGGGGTGGTATACGATTTGCCGCTTGTCCTACCTGTGAATTTCGTTTATACGTTTAGTGAGAGAATGACAGTATCTCTTGCTATTTGATAAAGACACCCTTTAACCCCCTTAGGCATTTTGTTTGCATTGAAGTGATGCTGTGAATCCTCAAGGGCGTCTAGGGTGTCTTGTATCAGTGGCTGAAGCGGCTCAAGCGGCATTTTTCTTTTTGGCTTTCTTTCTTTCTTGTTTTTCCTCCCCCTTTTTCTTTCTTCTCCGCCCTCATATTACTCTTTGTGTCTTGTATGCCCAATGAAGAGTTTTGGTGGAATAGGCATTCATGCATTAACGAGGAAACTACCAATCTGTCCTTGTCTGCCTTACTTGTTCTTACCCTTAGGCAACAGGAGAGTCATCGAGATGAAAAGAATGGGGGAATTCGTAGGGTTCTGTTCATAAATTCTTAGTATTTCACATGCCTGCAGATCCCCCACACCCCCAAATCTACAATGATGAGTTATTCCTATTTCACAATTCTTGTATGTCGTAGTTGCCTGGAGGGCGTCCGTGTAAGTTAATAGAAATCCAGGAAGATGGGGAGAAGAAGAAGAAGAAGAAGAAAAGTGCTCATAGCTAATACGATAAGCCGAGGCTTGATCGATACTACAAAGGTAGTACTCATTTACGCATGCCAAAGTGAACAGTGTGCCTAGAAAAGGCAATTAAGGATGCACGCTTGCGTTAGAATGGGGAGATAATGCAGCGGGGGGTGAGAAGAGAGAAGAGAAAGGACGTGCTTGCTAAACTATTGAAAAGCGGGGGGGAGGAAAAGGGAAGGGGGTGGGTATGCATGTTAATGAGGGTGTGTGGTGATGTGTGATGGCACTATATGAGTGCGTGGTGATGCGTATACTAGACTAATAGGTATGTATATCTAGGACTTTGATGGCGGGGTGGTATCGGTGTCAGGCACTACATGCTAGGAGAGAAGCACTTCCGTGTTAGTCAATTTCACTTCCTATCGAGTTTGAAAAAGGTGGAGAGAGGGCACGGAAAGACGCGTGTGCAGTCTGTGTATCTTGGAGAGCAGAAAACGATAGATTGTGTAGGAGGGGCGGATGCCTGGATTATGGAGTGTAAGTGAAGTTTGGGCGAGAGGGGATATGCTGCCTGCGATGACTTCGCTTAAGCATGATAGGGTGGAAAATGAAACGATCCTATTGGATTAAGACGGCCGTCTTTTCACGTTGCTGCCTCGTTGCCTGTATTTAATTAACCGCGGAAGACGGAGCGAGAGAAAAAAATAAATGCATCAGATTTATCTTATCTAGGAAAATCGGCCGCACCGTGTCTCTCTCTGTAGAAGGTCGTTCAGTACATGCATGTCCTCGCATAGCCTACGTGTAATTATCAAGAAGTATCATTAACGGATTAAGCAGGCACAATTAACATCATTCCAATCCAGCAATACCCCGTCTACGGCTCTCATCCTTACAGAGGATAAGATGAGATGTGTAAGTAGCATGCAAGGGAAGGGGCTTGGTAAATTGCCTGGTGGTACCGCAGAGCGCAGATCTCTCGGCCTCGCACTGATGTCATGATGTGCGGCAGCATAGTATTTCTGGGGTTTCGCCTCATCGTGAACAACAGATGTGAGGGTGGCATGGATACCTGGAACGTGGTTCGTCTTCATAGGACGCTGGCCTGCGTTGTGTCGCGCTCTGTCCTGCACGGGTTCGTATTGTCGGCTCTTTTGCAAGCCACTTAAGCCGCAATCGATCGAGAAGCAGTAGAGCATGCAGGGAAGTAAATCTAGAAGCCAGCTCGGCCCATTTCAGCCCGGCCTTTGATAGCAGTGAGCCACCTCTGAAGCTTAAATCGCAGCTCACGATTGCCTCGATGCTAGCGTCTGGGTTACAGAAACAGGGAACAAGCCCATGTTTCTGAACCTGCCACTCGGCTTTATACACAGCGCCTCTTCATGTCGATCTCTCCCCCTCTCCAAAAGCCAACGGGCGCATCGGCCCAAGTCGAGTCAGCCGCATGGGACACAGCAGATGGTAGCGGCCGACGACCGATGCCGCGATGCCGCCTCAAGCCGCTCCAAGGACGGTGAGCACTTTGGAATTGAACTGGCGTCGAGATCTCTGCGTGAATTAAAGGAAGGGAGAAGGGAGAAGGGAGAAGGCGTGTGATACACGGGCCTTCCATCGCCCTGCCGTTGCACGTGCTGGCTGGGCTGGTGGTCAATAGCTTGATGGCCGGCGATACTTAGTAGCATCATGGGCCATCCAAGTGCTAAGCCAGATGTAATAGCGGGGAGGTGCCAGGCCACGCAGACGCAGTGTCAGGTGATGAATGGGCATTTGATATACAATAGGAAACAGGCAACAGAAGATCTTTTTCCATGCCCTGAAAAGAGAATCCGATCAGGCAATTCTGGGCGTTTTGACAGCGCTTGAGGCCATGAGACCAGGTACCCAAGACCCTGGTCGCCGCGGTGATGTCAAAGGCCGTCAGCGATGGCCAAGTTGAGCCAAGGAAGAGTATGGGGTGGCTCGATTGGTGCATATGATGTTGGGCATGCGATGAGATCTGTTGGGGCTCCAGTCCGTCTAGAACTCCAAGGATACTAAAAATAAACAGGTCCAGGTGCAACTGAGTCCCTCGCGTACGAGAGAGAAACGTTCCGCGTTTGTGATACCCACACTGTTGGCAGCCTGGGTGAAGTCAAGGACCGAAGTATCGCGCGTCGCTGAGCGCTAAATAGATATCATGGCTCAGCAGATTGGAAGCGAGGGAGATGAAATCTCTAGGGCCTCGAAACTGCTTCACTGGCCAAGTAGTATAAGAGTAGAAAGTCTGGATCTAGGTAGATATGGACACGTACTGAAGCACTATTGCACGAGTAATGCCTGGTGGCAGCGACCGGTCTAGCACTACTTACTATTAGTAGTTACCGTACTAGGAGGAGTAGGTATGTGCAAAGTATAGATGACAAGTCGAAGTAACAGGCTGCAAGGTGCAGAGACGGAATACTGAAAAGACGGGTCAGCGTCCACCGAAGCATCGTTATTGCGTGAGGAATGGAGTCCAGAGTTTGATGTATACAGCTCTGCAGCAGCATCTCAACTCCGTATTCGGTTGCGGACGCCGGCTATCACTGGGATTGGCCAGGTTCCCTCCAAACTTGCTTGCTGCAGCAAGGGGCCACTTTTGAGAGTCAAATCAAGCGATCCCACGTAGAAAACTGGGCTAGATGATTTGACGCGACAAAAAAAAAGATGTGTTGAATAGAGGTAGTAGTAGGCAGTACTTACTACGAAGCACAGCGTGTGTAGTAATACGCCGCCATACTGTTTGTCAATATTGCTGGCACTTATCGAATGTAGGGAAGATGTGAGACACATAGTACTCTTGACTTGCGGGAGCCGTTCAGATATCCCCCGGTATAATGGACGCCGTCGTTAATGACGGTTCATGTTGCACAGCATAAACGATGGCATCGTGGGGATGAGAAGAGAGATTGATTGGATGTGAAGCTCCCCTTGGGCTTGTCTCAAGCAGGCTGCTACTGCAGTCGGTCCACCAATTAGCAGCAGTCTCGGCTAGATGATGAGAATATCAGAAAAGAGGGAAAACAGAAGCCACGAAAAGAAGAAGGCATTGAGGGAGGACCAGGCAGAAGTCAGAGAATCTAAAACCAAAATTAACCGCAGCGATGATGCATGCATTCAGACGCCAGTGCGGTGAGTCCTCTTCAGGCCTAGCCGAGAGAAACTGCCCGGCAGAAAACATGGGATCAGCCTCCCGCCTTCCATCACATACTACCTGGGTATACACAGATTGCTTGTAGTTACAGAATACGGAATCGAGTCTCTCGTACTCGGCACACAAGGCGCGGAGCACCATGCCGATTCATTTTATCAAGCGGCAGACAAGTCAGGTACTTGGCCGGCAAGTACTCAGGTGCTGTAGTGCGCCCGCGGAGTACAAAGTATAAGCATCAATGGTCTGTTTCATGCTTTTTCATGGCGCCGCCTCATTCTACAGCTCTTGACCGCCCTTGCATCTTTGCAGCCACCAAGTTCCGACATTCAAGCATCATTCTGATCAAGTTTTCAAGCTAATCGTGTAGCTAGCAATACCTGCTAAATTATCGCTAAAAATGTGCTAATGGAGGCAGCCGCCGTCACAAACAGAGGCAGTGCCCTCCTTCACGCCAGGCACGAGGAAGCATCACTCTGTCGTCTAGCTGTCACTGACTTGCTCACACGCCTCCAGGCATTCGCCCTTCGCCATTGGCGGCATCGAGCACGGCCTAAAAAGTCCTACATGAATGCAAAGGAGTGGGTTTAGCGGCCTCAAAAGTGGTCCCTCGATTTAAGGGTCCTGTTCTCGCAGTGGGTTCAAAAAGGCAAAAGCTGGGCTCTGGTTGCGCCTTGCCGGCAGGCATGGGGTTGCAATCCGAAGGCGCTAATGGCTTGCGGTGCATAGCAGTACCTCCAAGGTGACCACCTACGAGTACGAAATACGCAGCAGTAGACTTTGTTCCGTTCTAACCTCATCGCTAACGTCCTCCTAGCCGAAGGGTGGTTGTGGCTCTCCGTGGACGCCGCAGTGCATGTAGCGGTACTTGGATGGCACCGGTATTCAAGAGACGGGAGAGCACCTTACTGCGAGTCCGCAGGCGATGCATCAAGGCCAGCCAGCCTACTGAGGCACCAGTTCGGCTCTCTGACTCAACTGCGATCTAGTAGCACATCCTACAGACAAGTGCGTCGCACGTATGCCACCATGCGTGCTAAGGCACGAGAGGCTGCACTACTCCCTACTCCAGAAGTGCGAGGACACAGAACGACTCATCGACGACTCGCCGCAGTCCAGCACGCCATTTCCGATCAATGTTTGACAAAGCATTCACTGGCATCGTCTAGGAACTTCCGGCCCCAAACTTACGAACGTTTCTAGCTTCGAATCTTGTTCCTAGCACCCCCAGCCAAAGGCAGCTAAACGCAGCAAGTACCGGACGGGCCATGGCGGTAGCGCAATGATGCGAGTCTCTCTCGAATGCACGCCAGTCGATCCCTTCCTCCCGCTGGCCCCGGGATCCATCTTTTTTCCTGCCTGCTTGCTTGGCTCAGCGTGTTCTCTCTGGCTCTCTGTCCGCCAGCGCTTCGGAGAGGCTGCGCGACCCCAGAACATGCCGCGATAAGGACCGTGGCGGGAATAAAGGGGGGGCATCGTGCGGCAAAGATACGGACGCTGTCAAGGGAAGATGCCGTGCTTGCATGCGCCCAAGTCGGTCTGGCGCCATTCTGTGCGCGAGTTTCATGGCCAGCGTCCAATGCCCTGTTTTTCTTACTGTACAGAGCATGCGAACGCCGTTATCGCTGTTGCTATCTACCTGATGTACCTGCTCTATCTATCTCTTATCTCTTCTGTACGGCGCATGCCGAGGAATGATAGCGCTGGGTACAGATTGCTCCATATTACTACTGCTGGCTGCATTCAATCAGCAGCAGCCTGCATGTGCAGTGTCCTCACGCTGCCCTGCGCCTGTACATGCACATGTACATGTACATGCGGCGCCCTTCCTCTAGTAGGTGCGGCCAGCCACTCCAAGCCGCCATTCATATGCTGTGGCAGCATCACTGTTTCGTACTAGCAGCACTATTGTGCCAGTAATTGTATGTCGGCCTGGCCTGATCTGGCCCAACCCAACCCTTATCACGCTGCTGCTGGCCGTCAATCACGACAGTTGGCGCGCTCATTGTTAATGACCAAAGGTGCTGCCAAACCGAGGGCCCGTGCGACGTGGTTCCGAGGCAGCGCTGCTCAGCCAAGCTCTGCTGCCGGTGGCGCACGGCTAGCTGAGACAATTACTCAGTACCCAGTACCAAGTACCAGCCCGTGGCTATGAGCCAGCCGTGCCGAGCGTCAGTATAAGTAACATCATGATGATGTCTCTGCGCTTCTCCCAGCACTCTCGAACATGACCCACGGCGTCCGCTTCAGGCTTGGTCGCCTCCTGCCACTGGAGTGTTCTGCAGGTACCGAGCCATGTGATATGGGGACCAATTACGCGTGCGTGCCGCGGGGAAGCCTGTTAGGGGTGTACTTGAGCTGTACTTCGTACATGACTGACCTGAAGATTGCGTCGTACCAGTACGAGTATCGAGCAGCCGTTTGGGGTGGGGGGCCCGCCAGCTTAGCGCTGAGAGTCCTTGTGGTCACCCAGGTCATGGCGCTGGGGTTGGCCTAGGCCGGCTGGAAGCTGCTCTGCCTGCTCACTCCATCTGGGCAGGTACAGGTACTGCTGCAAGATTGCGGCAACGTCCCCTTGCGCTGATGCCGCCGTGGGAGTCCCGGCGCCAGAAGTACCCGGTACGCGCCTTCCGTTGCTCCCCCCCAGCGACCTCCAAAGTCGCTCTACCACTACATCACGAGCCCCTTCACGTAGGTCATCCAGCAGTGACCTTCCGATGCGCGGTACTTGTGCCCTCGTCTATCTCGCGCTTCTCAGCGCCTGCAGCGCCATCCTCTTCCATCTCCTCGTCATCGCGAGCTTTTTCGTTTTTTTCCCTCGCTCCCTTTTCTTTGTTCTTTTCTGCCTTTCCTCCCTCTGACCTCCCTATTACTTTCTAATCTTACTCTCCTAGTTATTCTTGCCGCTCTTCTAGCTCTTCTTCTCCTCTCTTCTCTGGCGCCATCATTTCTTAATCATCTGACCACCCCCGATCTGGGACCCTCGGATCGATCATCTCCTCCTGTCAAGCTCTGGTTTTCGCCTCCCAGGCGGCCCAAACCCCGTCAAGCCCGCCCTAAGGCCTTGTGGCGTCGGTACTTTGGCCGCGGTATCTCTGCTTTATCTTGGTCCTTGTACCCAATAGACACCCCCGGCTGCGTCTCCATCTGCATCAACTGCGCTGCAGCCTCTTGAAAGCCTCCCACGCAAACGCCCCGCAAACCTAGAACGACCATCCGGGTTGGCAACCTCTGCCTGGCGCCGCTTTCGAGTCACAATCGGGAAGCGTCTCTTGCGTCTTCATCATCCGGGTCCCCAGGCCAGGCGACAGCACAGCACAGCACGCACATTCTCCATCCAGGTGCATCGCAAGGTGCATCTGCATCTGTCTAGGTAGCCATACAGGTGGTAGCCGGACCACAGCTTCCTGGGACGTGTGCAAGCGCT